TGAGCAATTACCGCATCTATTTATTCCCAGCACCTAATCAGACAACGCATCTAGCGGACTCCTTTGAGGATCAGAGAGGCACCTCTGTTAGCATTGCCAGAAACGTCGTGACCATCGATATCAAGCTGGTGACGCTTCCATATCTCACCTCGTTGTGGACTTCCTATACCAAAATTGACCTGGAGAGATACTTACTATCCACAGACACGGGACTCACCGCCGTTGCATACATTCGCTCGGCCTTCACAGCCTCTGCTGTATCCATAGAGGCATTTAGCATACATGACCTTGGAAAAAGCACCATCGCTCAGTCAATGTGCCATGTCGAAAACAATATCTTCTTCGCTGCATCAAAATACTCCCGCTCCGTTCTTTTCAAAATAATGCCCACCGAACCGCATATTCTGATTTTGTCATTCATGCCTTCTTCACCCCCGGTGATTGATCTTGCGTACAGCTTCCATGCCAATACGTTGAGGTACCTGCCTGACGTCTTTGTGTGTCAAGGAGGATTCCACAGTGGAGAACTAAGGAAGATTTCTTATAATTCTTGGAAAGCGACGCAGTTATCGACTCTTCGACTAGACGATCCGTTCGCAGAGGTTGTTCTGCTACTGCCCACCAATCCTTTACCGGATTCGAGGATCGTGATTGGCATCAAAGTGAATCTGAAAATTGAAGACATCTACACAATTTCCAACGGACCTGAGAAACATCGCGGGACCTTCGTGAAGACCGACCTTCAATTCCCGGAAGAAAATGTTGTTAGTGCTGTCCTCTCTGAAGCATTCACCGGGCAGCATTTTATTGTCAATTCTAGTGACACAACGTCTACCAAGTTTTCCAAGTTGTTGTCGAATGGCACGCATCTATATGTTTCTGATAATCACATCGTGTGTGAGAGTGGAAGCTATAAAGCAACGTGTGACTTGCAATCCTCTGAGGCTTCTGCCACTGCTTTTGATGCAATTGTTCATGAAGGTACTCCGGCTTCTTTGGTGGGTTACACCGACGGTCAAATCGAGTACCTCCGCTTTGATGGTTCGAAAGTTTACGCTAAGTTGACCTTTAAGTGCGGAGACAAAAATGAAGGGCTAAGGGATGCCAAGTTCTGTTTCAATGCTAAGGAAGAATTGGTCATTGTCGCTATCGATAACGAGGGCAATGTTCATCAATACTTGCTAGAGCACGATGCCGTGACTGCTTCGTCAGTATGGAACTGTAAAGGTCCAGGGCCCACGGCCATGCACTCGGACGGTGATATGGTGGTTCTTTACGATACGCATAAGGTGTTGGGGTTGGTTCCAAAAAGAGGAAACTTTCTCGATCTCTGTGACTTCTTCTACTCTCCTAAGGCGATCAGAGAATGTATCGTTCTACTGAAGTCCCATGCCTTGGTTGGAGTATACCTTGAGGATAGAACTTTTGTTACTGTCTCGCATGAAGATAAGAAGGATGTCATCGACGCTCACTTCTCTGACAAGTTGTGGACGAAGGTCATCAGCATTCCTCGCACCCACTATCTAGTTTGCATCAAAACTGACATCAGGCCCTCCAAAGGCCAATCTAGGGTCGCTACACTCAATCTTCTTGATGGAAGAACCATGCGTTTGTTGCATACTTTTCCTAACACCACCCTGCAATTTAGCGACATCTGTTATGTGCCTCCCAATGAACTTCACGGCATAGCACCATCATCATTTGTGGCACTTCAGACGGGAACTAATTCCAAAAGTCGCTTTCCTCTCTTCAACATTGAAGGAGATAAAATTGTCGAGGTCCCTAATGTTCATCTGGTTTTGAAGGATATGGAGCTGGTCTCCTTCAGTGTCGTACGTTATGATCCTTATCGAGAATGCCTTCATGCCGCTGGCGAAGACTTTGTCCTGCTTAGCTTCACAAACAATAATGACATCCTTGAGTTGAAGGCAGTGGATTCCATCGGCAGGAACTGTGTGCTTCAACATGTTACTGATATAGCATGTGGGCCGGAGAAAATCTACATCTTGGATTCCTTTAGAGGACTATATGAGAAGACTTCAAGCAAGTTTGAGTTAACAAAGCAAAGTGACGATGATTCTAGGATCACCGCTATTTGTGCATTTCCAACTGCTTCGAATCAGGAGTCCCCGATCGTATTGGGCGACAGCCTGGGCCGTGTACACATAAACGGAAACATTTTCCAGTTGTTTTCACAAATCAACACATTGAAGTATGTCGAGGAAGACGGTTCGGTGCTTGTGGGAACGTTGAATGGAGGTATATACAGATTGACGAGCGACTTGGGACCCATCCCTGAAGAGTTGCATGATGTGGAGAAGTCAAAAATCACTTCGGTGCCTCCTTTCGCTTCTTTGGTTACAGGCGACGATGCAACACGGGTCTATTTTGCCAACACTATCCAGGATTATGTCGATTCTGATGAGCATCAAAACACAGATCTTGCTCTGCTCGACGCGTGGTGCAATGCATCCGACAAGGGTTTCAATCAAAAAGAACAACATTCTGACTCACAGAACCGAGAGATTGCGGAAGTTTTAGACTATATATAGAGGCCTTGCTTAGAAGCATGGCAATACATCTCTCATCTGCAGTTCGCACCAGAAAAACATATGTTGGAAGTCTCTGTTGATAATTGAAGTTACCCTATACACAATGAATTTCGATGACATAGAAATGCTAGATATTCCAGACGATACGTCGTCTACTCATACAGAGTCGTTGAGCTCGTCAGGCTCTCCAGAAACTCCCAAAGAAAAAGAGTATCCCACTGTATCAGAATGGCTCCATCTGGATGAGGACTTGAAGTTCCAATTCGATCTCAAACGATACAAAAAAACATTGGCACCCCCTGATGCATTTCAAAAGGCTCATTTCGACTACATCTCCTCGTTGTTTAAGGTTGTTGAAGACTTGTCTAGCCATGATGTTCAGATACTTCCTGAGGATTCTCTGGAAACAGAGCCATTGGGTGTCGTGACATCTCTGAGAGAGATTTCCAAGAATGCAAAGAAAGAGGAGAAAACAAACCGCATCAACAACGCATTTACCAAAATTGTGGAAAGCTACAGTCGTTTTCTAGACTCCGTGAAAGATGATTTGCAGGATGAGGACTTGGATGCATACTTGGACCTCCAGTTCTTGCTTGAATTCATCCAGGCTAACGAATTCCCTCTTCAGGAACGCCAAAAACCCGAGCTTCTTGTGAAATGGGTCAATGAGTACCACCCAAAGCCTGAAGATAGCTTTGTCGATGAAGTTGTCTACAACACCCCAGAGCCATACTTGCATCCCGAATTCTGGACCACCTACTTGGGTACTCTACTCACACGTGGTATGTTTAGCCACGCCGCTCAATCGATAGACTCCTCAAAATACCAGCAATTGGGAGAGGACTCGCCATTGTACACAATTATCGCTGATTTCCAAGTTTTGGTCGACAGCTACACATCCATGTCTTTGAAGGGGCAATTTCCAGAGTGGAAGCGAACCGCCTGCGAATTGAGAGACAACTTCAAGAATTTCAAACAAGGCATTGAAGACGAAAAGCATTTGGTGATCGCCAGACAGATACATGAGTTGCTCCGGGCCATCACTGGTCTACCCAAGACCTTGGCGGGTTTCACAGAGAAGTGGTACGAACTTTATGCGGCTCTTGCTCTCTTCCAAGTTCGTGACGATGACAGTGTCTACCAGGACTACTTTGAGATTGCGATGAGTGAGAAGAACACTGCCGATCAGAGCGATCTCGAGGAAGCCATCACACACGTTGCTCTGGGCAAGGCCCTTCTTGTGGTCACAGATCTCGACAAGTATGATCCTGCCACGGCGGCCTACGTCAGCAAACTCTATGAGCTCAAAAGCCTTTTCTTTCCTTACTACAATGCCGCCTACAAGGAATCGTTTATCAACGATGGCGACATCAGCAAAAAGTACATTTCGGACTATCTCCTCACAAGGCATGCATTCGAGTGTTTTGAAGTGCACCCTCTTGCCAACGTGGGTATTGGTCTTTTCCTCCATCCAGTGATTACGCCGACTGCTGACTTTAATTTAAAAAACCGCAAGATCGTTGCTGAATTCTTGCCACATTACAAATGTTACACAAACGACGACATGGAGTGGGCTCTCACTGTGTGTGCCAAACTTAATCTTCCAGAGGTCGCTAAGAAGCTCTATTTGCAACAAGGTAAGATGTCGATGGAAGACGGTCACTTATATGAGGCACTCAACATGTTTGTCAACTGCTACGACGAAACCTCCACTTCAAAGGAATCTTCGCTGGCCATGGAGAGAATTCATCACATTGTGTGGGAGCTTCTCTTCCAGGATGCTCTCTTGAACTGCCTTCCTACCGAAGACGACCTTTTAAATAATATTATTGCTCGTCAAGTGGACCCATCGTTCGAGGTCCATCCGGTCATTCGCCAGTGCATTGCGCCATATGCTGTGTTGGTGGAATATCTTAATGCCATTGATGACGAACGTGCTTTCAAGAAAAACATATCTCGTCTATTCCACTTGATAAGATTCAAGTTCATGCCTAAGAAGTTCGTGCCACTTCTATTTGCACAGCTCCTTCCGTTGTTTTCCCTGCCACAGCTCGCTCTACCAGATCTTATAGTGATGATTGAGCTTTTAGACTCGTTCGAGATGCTGGTGAAGGAGGAATCGGAGGAAACTTCGAAATTGTATGCATTTGCGGTGGAGAGTGCCGATGAAGTACCTAGCGAGCACGACTGGAGAAAGGTGTTGCAAGCAAAGGGACAGACGATACCTGAGACTGTGAAAGCATTGGTCAAGCGCCTCCGCAACGACATTGCAATGACAATTGGCAGGGTCTACATTAAGCAGTAGAATATTTCATCTATTTCGATAATGTATAGGGAAACCGATCATTGCCTCGCCTACAAGGTGGGATAGAAATGAAAAAGAAACAGAATGTAAATATGACGGTCAATGACAGTTGATGAAGGAGATGATCCTATTTTGGAGGAGTCTTAACAGGTGACGTCCTGACTGGCTCTAGAGTTCAACAACAAGGCGACGATCAAGCCGTACAAACCCAAGACTTCGGCGAAAATCAAAATCAAAAGCATACCGACGAACAATCTGGGCTGCTGGGCGGTACCTCTGACACCCGCGTCACCGACGATACCAATGGCAAAACCAGCAGCCAAACCAGCCAAACCAACGGACAAACCGGCACCCAACTGGATGAAGCCCGAGTACAAGGCCATCTTCTGGGACAAGCCGTCGGTCAACAAGACGGCCACGACCAAACCGTAAATGGCAATGATACCAGCCAAAATGACAGGCACAATGTTCTTGAACAACAAGTCAGGTCTCAAGACACAGGTGGCACACACACCAACACCAGACTTAGCGGTACCGTAAGCAGCACCGAAACAGGTGAAAACGATGGCGGCAGTGGAGCCGATGGCACCAAAGAATGGAGCGTAGACTGGGCTATAATTGTTAGTATCAAGATTGCGGTGACGATAAGCGATCCCACGAATTGGCCAACGTGGCTGGCCCGGGGGGATCTGAAATTGCCTTCAATGTACATACCACAAGTCGGACATTATTCTGAGTTAGTGGCACAGATGGATGAGGTGAATTGTAGCGACAAGTCAACCGATAGATTACAGGTGGCTAACAAGAGACGTAATTTTTTCTCGGGGTCCGTGAGCGGTGTGCTGTGCTGTGCAGGCCCATGTGCTTGAGATTACGCACGGCTCAGTTAACCACAGGCTGGATGGGAGATTTGGGTGATCCAGGAGAGTTTGGGGGGATTTGAGGGTTTTTGTTGGTATTTGGGAGATTGAGTTTTTTGGTGTGGGTTGAAATTTGCAATTGGGGTAGTGTGGTGGTGGAAAGGGTGGGAGTTTGGGTGGTGTAGGTTTCAGCAGCACTCATGTCATATATGGTCGGGCGGGGTTGAATTGATTTTGGTGATTTGATGGCGGTGGGGATTTCATCAACTTGGTGGATTATTGCTTTGGCTTTTAATAAGTGGTTGTGACTTTATGAATTGATGTGAGGTTTGTGTTGATTAGGTGTTGCTATGAAATGGCTGCGAAATTAGGCACAGTAGGTAGTGTTGAGGAATACCATGAACTGACGGTACAAACGATCAATATATAATACTTCTTTTTCCTTCAAAAACGGCTCTTTAATGAATACAGTGTGTATTCCGTTCGCCTAGAGAACAAAAATACATAATTCTATAACGGAAGTATGCATTTGATGTCAATAAGTACGTTGGAGCCGTTTCATAAGACATAGGTAAATAAATAACGAACAACAAGGGTGAAAATCCATGAGCTTAGCTGAAGATGTACTTAACCTTGGCTGCTGATGTCCTACTAGAGGGAAATGGCATTATTTGGGCCACCTGAATGGCCTGTTCTATAGGTAACACCTGATTTGGCAACCATCGGAAGAATAAAACTAACTGATACCTACATCGGACAAAATAACCACCCACCTCTAGCCACCCATCATATTCTTCCATATACCGATAATTAAAATCCCAAATCCACCCACTTTACACCGTTTCAGCCCATCCCTCTAAAGGTCCATACTGCCACTCCTGCATACACACCACACACCAACCTCATCTCGCACCAGAGCTTTTTTTTTCTTCTCTCTATCGGTGAGCTATTTTGCAAGGAGCCTAATCAACAATGTCTAACCCTAAAGCCTTCCCTTTGGCCGACTCGGCCTTGACCCAGCAGATCTTGGACGTCGTCTCCCAGTCCCAGAACTTGAGACAGCTCAAGAAGGGTGCTAACGAGGCCACCAAGACCTTGAACAGAGGTATCTCTGAGTTCATCATCATGGCTGCTGACACTGAGCCAATTGAGATCTTGTTGCACTTGCCTTTGTTGTGTGAGGACAAGAACGTGCCTTACGTTTTCGTGCCATCCAAGACTGCCTTGGGCAGAGCTTGTGGTGTTTCCAGAGCCGTCATCGCTGCCTCTGTCACCTCCAACGACGCCTCCTCGATCAAGAACCAGATCTACGGTATTAAGGACAAGATCGAGACTTTGTTAATTTAGATTGTATAATAGCATCTGGGGTATCAAGGTGTAGAGCTGGCTGGAGGAGCTTAGCCTTTGAGGCTTCGGCTTCTCCGGTTGGTAGCCAATAAGCTGCTGTCCATTTAGTCACACTCGGCCTTCTTTATCCTAATAAACAACTGTATTCACAATGTTTCACTGCCAATGTAGGTATTCTGTAATCTCATCTCCATCGCGAAAAATATAGCGCATCGCATCACAGTAGTATCATCTACATGGTTGAACTAAAGACCGCCGAGGGCACCACCAAGTACCTCAGGTCGAAGGGCGTTCTGCCTCAGGAGGCCGTCGCTACGGCTGATGCTCTTTTGAGCGGCTCTCTCGACGTCTTTCTCCTCAATAAACACCACTTTGTGTTTGACCTAATATGCGATCGTATGAACGAGTTCACAGGGAAAGACTTCAAATCATGGAAGCTCGAGCCACTGCTCTGGACGCTATGGGGCACTGTTTGGCATCTTATGGGCCAGCTGCCGTTGGATCTCGATGCTAGAAGTCGAAGCTTTCGCAGAGTCAAGTTGGTACCCATCATGACCAGTGTTATAGAACAAGCTGAGGCCGATGCCTTGGATGCAATGTTTGCCTGTGTTGGCGAATTTCTTGTATCTGGCTACATTGAAGCAGACGAGTACACTGTTACTGGGCTTCTAGGTGCTTATGCTGAATGGCTAGAGAAGCATACTACTGATAGAGTGAACCATTGGACACCTGTGGTGATCCAGCTTTTTGAGCTTCCTAGACAATCTTCAAACTACAAGCCAACTAAGAAAAGTACGGCAAGGTACTTTGCCAGCGTGCTTCCACACCTTCTTAATTTCCTATCTTCCGATGTGGATGCATCGCTCAAACCAACGGTGGACCTTCTTGCTCAGCAGAACAGAACATTCCTTTTCGAGGTAGAGTCTGCCAAAACGCTTTGCTCTCATATGGACGACGTCACAGCTTATGATGGTCTCACAGACGCTGCTGTGGAGTACCTTTTCCACGAGGTAATTCGCAATTTGGCTGCTACAGACATTGCATCGTGTGAGAGTGTTTTTGTTAGCATCACCAAGAACGAAAAGTTTAGCCAATTGTCGGAAAAGCTTCTTCACTTCTTGGCCAAGGTCAATAGGGCGCTTTCCACTGACTTCTTTGAGCAATTGTACACTACAGAGATGACAAGGCAACCAATCAGATGGGGACTTGTGGGGCACATAATCTCCTTGAGCCCTGAACTAGCTCAAAAGAAGACAGATGACATCATAGAAGCAAGCAAGAGCCTTAGTGCTGAGGATATAAGTACAGTTGCCTCCAGTTTGGCCCAGGGATACATTCTTGCTAGAGATTTCGACAAGTTCATTGGAGAGGTGTATCCCCGTGCATTGGAAGCTAACTCAGCATTTTCGGTCGATGAGGTTTTGGACCATTTGGCTTCCAAGTGTGACGAGCTTTCAGGAAATCAGATTGCAACCTTAATTCTGGAGGCATTGAAAAGCAGTGAGAAGGAGAAACTTGTGCTTCTCTTGAGGGGTCTCCTTCGATGCTCTGTCTCCAAGCAAGAAACGTCCTTAAAGGCCTTTTCTGATGAGTTGTACCTCCAGAAGGGCTGGTCTCAGGTGGTTTACTACCTTCTATGCATTTATGGTGATGAGATTAAGACTGATGACATATTGAAGAAGGTCATTCCTGATGGACCGTCTACAAAGTACGACTTCTTTTTGACATTCAGGGTTGTCGAGTTGACAGGTGATTTGGGAGCATTGAAGGAAAAGAAGATAGAAAAGTTCGTCAAGAAGCTCAGCACCAATGAAGCTTATGCTTACGCAAGGAGATGGCTTGTTCTCACTGACCTGTTTGATACCATCAACACAGCACTTCTCCAGAAGTTAGCAGAGGGCTCTAGTGAGCAGTTTTTTAACTTTTTCACTACCGAGGCAACTCTCATCTACGAACTTCCTGGATTCTTGACATCGCTTGCTTCTTTTATCACCAACAACCCAAAGTTCCCATACACAAAGAATCTTTTTTGCATGATGCCCTCGACAATCTACAGAAAGTTCTTCTCCTCCTTCACTGACAAGCTATGCAAGGATGCTTTGAAGGATGATGAGGCAAAGATCATCCTCAGGCATGTCTATGAGGACGCAAATGGGTCCTCGATTCTTGAGAAAGACCTTGACCTTTTTAAGAAGTTCACTGCATCCGACAATTCTGAACTCACCACGCAGATCTCTCAGCTCGTTTGGAATGGTCACATAACTCGTTTCAAGGACTCTGCATCTGCTGACTTTGTCAACAACACACTCAAGCATTTACTCAAGGCATTAAAGAAGAAGCCTTCTGCCGCTGATATCAGACTCTCTCAGGTTGTACTCAATGGCAAAAGATCCAAGGACCCCAACTTCCAAGCTTCTTTTGAAGAGCTTTGTGACGCTTATGTCAATTTTATCACCAAGAACAAAGATATTTCCGATGAAGAGATTAACGTTCTTGCGAATCTCCCATCACCACTTTCCGACAAAGTTAGAGCACTGTTGAAAGCATTGCTCAAAGCAGCAGGCAAGAAAGACTTGAGTACACAGACGAAATCAAGTCTTTTTGTTCTCGCTACAAAAACATCAACCAGCGATCTCCACGGCGCTCTTTTCCTTTGCAGCTTATACTTAGCTCTACAATTGGACTCCCCTGGGCTTATGGATAGCCTTTCAGCATTCTTCAAGACATTGTCTCAAGAAGACTTTTACGAATTATACTTGCATTTACTCGCATCTTGTGAAGATGCTAATCCACCATATTTGGACGCAACGGTGAGATTACTTTCTACACTTGCTCATCACCTTGACAAGACTCATCAAAAGGAACACTCCAAGTTGTTTGTTTCCACAATCCTGGTTATCAGTCTGCGCATAGAAGACATAGAGGAAGAGCAAACCATCGTTGGATTTCTTTCTGCATTGACCGTCATGCTCTCGGATCATGTGTGGATTGTTTCTCAGTATTCTGTTGAGCTTATCTTGGCTACTGTTGGTATTGCTTTCAAGAAGAGCCAGCATCGTGACAGATCTACTGTCTTCATAGCAGCCATCAGTCTTGTATCATACATTGTGTTGTTTCATCGTTTCAGACTTACTTCACGTTACCACCTTCTCGTGGCGATCCTCGTGGAGGCCATGAAACACCTTACTAGAAAAGATGTGACTAATGAAGATGCTACTGTGTTTGGAAGAATCTTGGTAACGCTCAGTGAGCCTCCGATCCAAAGATCCACCAAGGAGAATGACTCTCTCACTTCTCAGTCAGCCATCTACAAAAGAGCCATCCGAAAACAGGCACACGTTTTGTTGATTAATTATGTGCATATGCAAGTGTCTGCGCCGTTGAAGAGCTCCGTCACGGACGCATTGATGCCCGGTATCTACAGTGTCTTTGGGCTTTTGTCAAAGGTCGAGTTGCAACTCGTCAACCAACTCCTTGACCTGCTGGGTAAGGTCTATTTCAAGAACTTGTACCAGAGTTATAAGGATCACGGCAAGTGGAAGAACTGATGAATCAGTCCATATTAGGTACCCTCTGGAAACCGGCACGAGATGCCGCAGAGCTAAAATAGGCCCCTAGCATTTCGAATCTGCTCCAAACCACAGCATCAAGATTATCGTAGGTAGTAGGGTTATGCAATTCATGAGTGGTGTGCTCATATCTGAGAATGTCTTTCCGTGTAATGGAACCAACCAAGAGTCCGTCTTTTTGAACAAGAACGTGACGAGGACCAAGACGAACGAAGATATCCATGAGATATTCTAGTGTACAGTCGATGCTGACGACAAATGGGGCGGGGTTGATGATTCCAGCCATATCAACTCCTGATGATTCAGGAGTGGGTGACGATTTGAAGTAGCACTCATTCTCGTTGCCATGAGTTCTCACAACATAGTCCAAATCGGACCTTGTCACATAGCCAAGAATTTCCGGTGCCTCTTCAGACATGACAACCGGGTACCCTCTGTATGGAGTTTTCTCTAGGATAGTTTTAATTTGGGCAATTGAGTAATCTCTGTCGGCAGTGAAGATGACCGTGACCGTGGACATGGCTTCAGCCACCGTTGCATCGAACCTGAACTCCTCCTTTGGATCAATATAAGGAAGGCCATTGAAAACAATCATTTGGTCTGCGATACCGCCTTGACCAAATCTGTCATTGATCAATTTAGTGACTGTTACTGCAACCATGGTAGGAATAATGTAGCGCACGGCTCCAGTAAGCTCAAACATGATGATAGCCACAGTCACAGTAAGATGTGTAATACCACTCAAAGCGGCGCCAGCGCCAATGAAAGCGTATGTTCCTGGAATGACGCATGTCTGATCAGGTGCACATGTTGCAAATATAGTGGAGTCGGGATGAGCCTGATATATTTTCTCGACAATGATACCGATGGCTCTGCCAAAAGTGGCACCAGCAGCCATAGAAGGAACGAATATACCAGCGGGAACTTTACAGCCATATGTGACGATCGTCAAGATGGATCTGCCCAAAGTTGCAATTATCAAGGAAAGGAAAAGTGTGGTTTTGCCCGAGTCGGCCTTGCACAATTCATGCAGCGAATCGGAGGAGCAGTCGTTGAAGAGGGTTTGCATGACCTCTGTCATGTCCAATTTCAAGAACTGGTTGAAGTAGCTGAAAGCTGCACTGATGATTGCAAGGGTGACGACCTCGTGGATAGCGTATGGCACCAAGTATTTCTTACGGAAGCCAGCTACCCTCTTGTTGAGCTTGGAGACGATGACACCGTAAACACCGCCGAACGCACCCAAAAGAGCATAGAATGGAAGGTCAAACCAGTGCCATGCGTTGTGGTAGGAAACCTCAAAGAGGACCAATTGACCCGTGCGGAAGGGATTGAGTGTAGATAACGTTGCAACGGCGATAAGGGCGCAAACGTATGACTTCCAAAGCGTCAGAAGTTGGAACACAGAGGCGATTTCCTCCATTGCGAAAAGCACACCACCCATGGGCGATCCGAAAGCGACCGCAACGCCAGCTGCAGACGTAGCTGTCAAGAACTCACGCGATTTTGAAGCCGATTGGCGGTATTTCTTGAAAAGCTTCGCAATGCAATTACCCACACACACAGCATAATGAACTGAGGGACCCTCTTTCCCTAGGGAGAGACCCAGTGCAATTGCCAAAGGCAAGCCCAAGCCCTTGATGGCCAAAGTCCACCAGCCCAAAAAGCCCTTCATGACGAAGCCTGACACGATACACTTAATCTCAGAAATACCAGACCCAGCTGCAGCGGGAGCGAAGCGTCTCACAATAAAAGCACCGATACCCAGAAACACTATCAGCCACAAGATGTAAGCCAAGTATCGTAGAAATCCAAATTTCAGCCATGGCTTCCAATTATCACATTCCTCCTCCTGGTCCCAGCAGCAAAAGCCCTGACTTAGATAGTAGTTCAGTGAGCAGTAGCCTAGTCTCATCAGCGCTAGCCAGGCTGTTATAACATTAAGACACAGCGCAATGACGCCAATGATAATTCCCATCGCCATAAGCACAAGCCACGTTCGAGCGTTTTGCACAATCTGCTGTTTCCACGAAGTTACAGGTCTCTTTCGTGCTAGTCTTTCTCGATGTTCCTCCAATTCATCGTCCATCCAGTCGATTGTGACAAAGTCGTCATACCGAGCCACGGCACGCACTTTCTCCTGGTGAAGCCATTCTCCTGTTTGCTTGGATCGGAGTTCTATATGTTCGTAGCCTTCCATTGTGAAGAAGTAGATGTGGACTTTCCGATATATCGCATAGTATACTTGGCATAAGCCCGTGCACCATGACGTGGGGGCTTTGGAAGCGGGACCTATGGGGTCTCAGACAAAAGTAAGAAGAGAGGTTTTGAATATTTATGGAGAAGGGTAAATGGCGACGAGGCTGAGAGAAAAAATATTATGTAGCTGCTGTGAATGATACAGCTACGCACGTCAAAAGCCACGTCAGTTTATCAGATCAATCAGTGCGAAGACGTCAAAGAGTCGGAGCCGAGATTTATACCCTGAAAAAACAAAGTGCTCGAAAAAAAATACAATGAGGGTGAACTGTCATTTTTGTGTAAAATTTGATTGGTTCTTTGCGTGCAAGGCTGGGTGGTTTTGCATCCGAGCTGCGCCAGGACTATTAGTCGCCTTGCATATCTAGATGCTTTTGATATGAGACACCTATGCGATAAATATTGGATTCAACCGTCTAGACTTTTGCCGCATACTTTTGCAAGTTGCGTTCGAGCTCCTGATGGAGACTCTCTATGTTGTCTTCCCCCTCGAAGTATGACATCACGATGTTGAGACCTCCTCTTGGACATGAGACCACGTTGAGCACGAAGTCAGAGGCCCCGGGGGCCATATCTTGGGAGAAGATGATGTCATCGACCGTGAGGTCTTGTCCTTCGAGCTTGTAGACGGGGAAATTGTACGCACCCACATTGGAGATTTTGATGGCATCCGCCTTATTAGCGCCCACTATGCCCGAGAAGAGATGCTTGTTTTCTTCGTACTCTGAAGCAGCTTCAGCAAATGCTTTTTGGGTGTTGAGCAATCGCCGATTGGCAACAGTCTGCTTCAATTCAAGGTTCACCTTTTTGACAAGCTCCCATGAAAACTCCTTAACGGGCTCAAACAAATGTGGAAGACCCATATGAGCAAAATTTCCAAACATCTTGTAGTTCTCTTTGGTTATTATTTGCTTGTACGGCTCATCCACAGCATCAGGTGAAAGGAAACGTCTAAGAGTCACGGCGATCATTGCAGACGTGTGATGGTCATCGCCGTAGACAGCATTGAAAGTCAATGCCTGAATGCAAGCGAGGTATGAAGTGAATGTGACACCTTCCGCCTTGCAAGCCGCCAAAACTTTGCTGAAGTGGTCGGGATCAAGATGGACTAACCTCATTATCTTAGTGGCATTAAGCGACGCCGGGAATCTTCCAGGTCATTTGTCAGGAAATCCCACTGGTGGAGTAGTTGAGTAGTGATTTGCGTCGCCGTGCGTGTAGTCTAGATGCTTTGCTTCCATGATCATTTCCACAGGTGGCGGCAAGGAGTTTCTGATGTACTGCAAATCAACAGCAGAGTCAAAAATTACGGTGTCGGGAGTGATTAGCTCGGGAATCGTGCCATAGCTTTCCTCGAATTCACCGTGGTTTGCAGGATCAGCACAGTAAGCCAAATTGTCCAAGAAGATAGCATGAAATTGCGGTGCAACAACGCCGTCAGATGGTGTGTGCTCGAAAGCAGCACCGAGTGTGCTTTGGCCAACTAGAATGAGGCAGAAAAGGGGCAGCTCCTCGTATAGACTGCAAAGCTTATCGCAGCATAGACGACGGATGAACGCCTCATGCCACTCCTTTCCTCCAACAGAGCCGTCTTCCTTCTTATAGATATCACCGAATTTGGCATTCTTTATCGGCCTGAAGATCGAATTCTGCTTCTCCTCGTCCCTGAACACGTTGCAAATGAGTATGTGGTAGTCCAAGATCAGCTTCCTCAATGCGGCGTAGACGAGCTTGTCCTGCTTAGATAGATCCACGGAATAGGTGCCTATGGCGGCAAAGTTCTGGTAAAACCCCACAGCATTTCTGCAGCGGAAGAAGTTCTCGTTATTGCCCAAAGGGCGCTCAATAACAAGATCGGCCATGGCTAAAAAGTAGCGAGCCCAACGGCTTAAATAGTCGCCGCCTCTATACAATTCAACGGCTGCAAACCATCAGTGCGATAAGGGCGCGGAATATGACTCAGCTTACCACAGCCAACACTATCACGAGAACAATTACCAGAAGCGCTATAAGCAAGATACAGCTCCATTTGCCTTTACGTTTCTGGTATTCATGAGCCTTGTGAAGCTCACGCGAAGCCTGTTGCGTGTTGCCATGGAGCTCTTGCACGTTTTCTTCAATGGTGTCTAACTGCTCTCCCTGTTGATTGACCAATGTGCTGAGGTCTTTGAAGACGGAATTCACTTCCTGGACGCTGGCCGCCACCCGGTCAATCTCCCTGTTTCTCTCTTCTGTCAAAAGAAGGTGGTACTGAAGCTCTGTCTGGTCGATCTGCTCTTGAGTGAGTTGCTGCTGCTGCTGAGTCTGCTGCTCTGGCTGTTTCTGCAAAAGCGGCGTATCCTCTGTATCTAAAGACTTGAGCGGTATAGCCGTTTTTCTGCTGTTATACTGATCCAGCGCCTCTTTGAAACTTTTATGGAGACTGGCGTAGTCCTGAGAAATCCTCTCTTTTTGCATTGTCTGACGCTCAGTAACTTCCAAGCTTTGGTCAATTGCCTTGTTGATGTTGACCGTGAGTCCTGCTATAGCAGCATCCAAACCGGCGATTTTGGTCTGGAGCAAATCAAGCTTTTCTCGAAGCTTGGCGCTATCTCTTTTGCTACCCACGAGTCTACGTTGGGAGTTAAACTGTGATATCAAAGAGCCGAATGTCTGGATTTGTGTGGATGTGGAGGAGAAGATCTTGTCGAGTTCGGACCCGCCACCATTTGTGGAGGCAGGTTTCTGGGCCTCGAGGTCGTAGTTAGCAAATGACATGTGGTGGTTATATCAGGAATGTATGGGTGTATGGATTATGGGAATATTTTGGAACGTATTGGAGGGTATGGCGTCTATGTGGGTAGTATTTATAGATGGATGTGTATGTATTGTGAGATAAGGAAATGCAGGTCAAGCAGTTACACGGCGGTTATGGTTGAGGTTACACGACAAAACCGTGGATTTCGAACTTTGGGAAGCTTTTTAAACAATGATGGGGTTTTGATTCTTGGAGGTTTTTGTATGATTTTCTATGATTGGTAGTTGGTTTGGAAGGTAGTGAAACATGTGGATAAAGGAGGGGCTGGCTCAAGTACCATATTGAGGTTGTCTTTAACCACTTTTTTTTGACAAAGTCAATTGTAAGTTTATGCTTCGTTTTATATGACGAGATTGCTGAAACTCGGGGTGGGTCTTTTTTTGAACCTTTTTCAACATGCTGTGTCTGTCAGTTGGCTGGATTTGAAATTTCGCAGCCATTGAATTCGGACCGTAATCAATCTAGATGAAATACCAAATCGTTAGACCAACAGTTCTATCAATTTTGCATAAGAAGTAGAATCAAAAGCTCATCCAATTGTACTTCCCATGTTTGATGGTGCTCCGAAATACGTGTATTACATACGATTCTGGAGCAATGACACTGGTGGAAATGTACCGTGTTTCTTCGCTGTCCACTTGCGAAAATTGTCCTTTCATGTCTCATAAACCAACATGCGATTAAACAGAAATAACCACCTAACAAGGAATTGAAAGAACTTACTGCCTTGGAGATGTGGAAACCTGGACTCTTACAAAGCCTTCCAGGTACAAGAAATGCAGTCCTTCTATTTCCCCGTATATTTAGACCAATGCAATAAATCCAATTACCTCCTATGAAATCGGCGCTTTTGTATGACGAATGTTTTGTGAACGCGCTTCAATGACATACTCAAACCACCATATCCTCAACTGTGTAGGCCTTCATCTAGAGCGCATACCACGTTTTGCAACCACGCATCAAAGCATCTCCCACTATCAGATCAACATACAAATATATGCATTTTCACAAAGCAATTCAAACTCAACTAATTAAAAAAGACCATTTTTATTCACTCTAAGTGCCTCCCATTGATTGCCCCATTTTGCACCAACTAGTACCTGATGCCTCCACGCTGATGCAGGTTGTTGATAGCGCGTAGAATCGCGTACCGCGTTCTACTACAACCACCATCTCTTTTTACAGCAAACCCGATAAATGCTGTCTAGAGCCGCCAAAAGAGACAAGCTCAAGCGGCTCAGAGAGGCCCGGCGGACCGGTACCATAGCGGCCGTCCTGGATGAAGAAAACGAGTTCATCTACGATGAGGTTGACGAAGACACCTACAGACAACATAAGAGAGATCAGTTGATGAACGACGACTTTATTGTCGACGACAACGGCGAGGGCTATGTTGACAACGGTGTGGACGAATGGGACGACGCGACGCGGCCCAATTACTACTCTGACGAGGAGGAAGTGGAAGAAGTGGGTACGAAGAAGAGAAAGAAGAAGCAGCAGAAGCCCGTGAAGGTGGCCAAGACGGCGCAGATCAACAACTTCTTTGCGCCAGCAGCAGCTTCGAAGAAGGCCGAGCCTGCAAAGAACGCCGCCATTGACGATATCTTGGACGACTTTGACGTGAAGCCCAAGAAGGCCAATGTGTTTTCGCCCTTTGGCACCGCTGCACCCAAAAACAAGAAGTCCAACGCGTCTGCTTTCAGCTTCTCCACCGCTTCGCGTGACAAGAAGAAGGTCAAGAAGGAGCCCGAGCTCGATGCCTTCGATACTACCGTGGATTCGGGTGAGGACTTCGATGTGGGTGGTAAGGAAAGCACCCCTGATACTCCGGTTGAGACCGCCGAAGAAGTCGACGTCAAGTCTTCTAACCTGGATGCTTCCATCAAACCTGAGCAGCCTGATCCTGTCGACGATGACAGCGAAGATGATGACATTGTTGTGACCAGAAGACCACGCGCTTCGGCCCCTGCTAGAAACACTGGTGCAACAATCTCCGCTGTGAAAGCTTCCAGTCTTCTTTCGTCCTCTCCATCTAGAGCTTACTCGGCCATCTCGCATACCGAAAAGCTAGACGAGGACACTGTCAGTGAAGACGACTCATTCAAGATGTTCTGGTTGGACTACGCCGAAGCCGACAGCTCCCTTCTCCTTTTCGGTAAGGTACTCACGAAGGACAACAAGTTGGTCTCTGGTGTCGTCCAGGTCAATGACTTGTGCAGAGAACTTTACATCTTGCCTAGAAAGTACCGCCTTATCGATGGTCAGGAAACTACGCAGCCAGTCAGTGCTATGGATGTGCACGAGGAGATCTCTCCTATTCTCATGGAAAACTACGGTCTTGAAAGTCTCAGAGCTAAGCCAGAACGCATGAAGTACGCGTTTGAGCTTCCGGGCGTCCCCAAAGAGGCAGAGTATTTAAAGGTTTTGCTTCCCTTCAAAACCAACAAGCACAGGCACTTGGTTATGCCCTCAGAATTGGAAGGTGAGACTTTCTCCAGGATTTTTGGTACCAACACCAACATTTTTGAATCTTTTGTCATGCAGAGAAATATCATGGGTCCCTGTTGGTTGGAAATCAAGAAAGGTGATTTCAGCGCTATCCAAAACGCGTCTCACTGTCAAGTTGAAGCTGCCGTTTCATCCCCCTCCTGTGTCACACCAATTGTTAATTCGAACATGCCGCCTCCTAATTTGACCATTACGTCTATCTCTGTTCAGACTCTCATGAACCCCAAGTTGAACAAACAGGAAGTCGCGTGTGTCACTTTGGCTACTTATAGAAACATGCCTCAAGATGCTCCTATTGATGAGAACATTCAACCCGATGATCTTGTTACTTTGGTACGTCCAATTGGGGCCGTTGGTTTCCCACCAGGTTTGCAGCAGCAAGCCCAAAAACAAAAGATGAATCTCAAGACCTTGCCTAACGAGGCATCTATGTTGGGATGTTTGGCTGCACTTGTTAAAAATGCAGACCCAGATGTATTTATTGGACACAGATTGGAGAATATCTCTTTGGACGTGTTGGTCCACAGAATGCACGATTTGAGAGTCGGAACCTGGTCCGCAATGGGAAGAAGAAACAGAAAGTCTTGGCCTGACAAATTTGGCAAGGGTAATGGCTTCAACAACAATCTTCTCATTCGTGAAATCTTCCAAGGTCGTCTTTTGTGTGATATCGCCAACGAGTTGGGTCAGTCGTTGACCACCAAGTGTCAATCGTGGGACTTGCCTGAGATGTACAGTGTTGTTTGTCAGAAGACCTACAATGCCGTCGAGCTCAACTTCCAGAACCCTCGATACGCTGAAGATGCTGCATTCTTGATGATGTCGCTCAAAGAGAACATTACTCAAGTACTGATCACTGCCAAGATCGCATTTGCTCTCCAGATCTTGTCGCTTTCCAAGCAATTGACCAATTTGGCCGGTAATGCTTGGTCTCATACCCTTAGTGGTACAAGAGCTGGTAGAAACGAGTACATTTTGTTGCATGAGTTCAAGAGAAATAACTACATTGTGCCTGACAAGGAAGACAAGTACCACAAGAACACCAGCCATCAGCAAGAAGCGAAGCTTGAAGCGAATGAAGATGATGCAACAACAGTGACACTGAACAAGAAGCCCAAGTTCCAGGGTGGTTTAGTTTTCGAACCTGAGAAGGGTCTCCACAAGAACTACATTTTGGTCATGGACTTCAACTCTTTGTATCCAAGTATCATCCAGGAGTTCAACATTTGTTTCACTACTGTCGAGCGTGATGCCTACAATATCACGCACGATGAAGAGAGAGACTTGCCTAGCATACCTGAGCGTGACTCTGAAGCCGGTGTCTTGCCGAGATTGTTGAATGCATTGGTCTCGAGACGTCGTGAAGTTAAGAAGCTTTTGAAGAACCCTAAAAATACCGTTCATGAGCGTGCTCAATACGATATTAAGCAGCAAGCATTGAAGTTGACTGCCAACTCTATGTATGGTTGTTTGGGTTATGTCAACTCCAGATTCTATGCTAAACCTTTGGCTATGTTGGTTACCAACAAAGGTAGAGAGATTTTAATGGACACCAGACAATTGGCTGAACTGATTGGTTTGAGAGTTGTCTACGGTGATACTGACTCTGTCATGATTGACACTGGTGTTAATACATTGCAAGAGGCTCTCAAGATTGGTGATGAGTTCAAGGTTCAGGTGAACGACAGATACAAGCTTTTGGAGATTGACACGGATAACGTTTTCAAGAGGTTGTTGTTGCACGCTAAGAAAAAGTACGCTGCTATGAATGTGAGCTTGGACAGGAAGACCGGCAAGGAGGTTTCTGCATTGGAAGTTAAGGGTCTCGATATGAGACGTCGTGAGTACTGTCCATTGTCGAAAGAGATTTCCACATTTGTCTTGCAGAAGCTCTTGTCTGACATGGACCCAGAAGAAGCTCTTACAACTGTCTACAACTATTTGGAGGAGATGAAGGGCAAGATCAGCAATAACGAAGTCAGCATCGACAAGTATCTGATCAACACCCGTCTTTCGAAAGATCCCTCGAACTATCCTAATGGAAAGACCATGCCCCCTGTCCAGGTCGCCTTGCGTCTTAGAAAGCTGGGTAAGGTCATCAAGGCAGGTAGCGTGATCACGTACGTTGTCACCGCTCCTCAGAACGATGAGGACAACTCTAACCCTGCTGAGAGGTCGAGGGCCATGCAAGAGGTGTTGGCCAATAAGTCACTGTTCAAGCCCGATAGTGACTTCTACCTCGAGAAGCAGATTTACGCTCCGGTCGAAAGACTTGTGAACCGTATTGACGGTATTGACATGATGCGTGTTGCAACCTCGCTTGGCATTGACACCCGGAAGTATGTGATGAGGCTCAGAAACAGCGAAGAGGGAGGTAATGATATCGCTCCTCTCGAGTCCAACATCACCGACATTGAGAGATTCAGACAGTCCAGCTACCTCGTGCTTAACTGCAGATGCGGTGCCAACTTCAGATTCGGTGGTATCCAGCCCTCCAAGGACTACCTGATCACGTTCAATGGTGTCTGCTGCTCGAAGTGTAACTACGTCTTCCCCACATTGAAGTTGACCTCGCAGCTCGAGAGCACCATCAGAAAGCACCTTGCCTTGTACTACGCCGGCTGGGTGATCTGCGACGACTCAGCTTGCGGGATCAAGACGAGGCAAATTTCGGTGTATGGTAAGAGGTGTATTGGCAGTTCCGGTAAAGCACACGGCTGCAAGGGAGTCATGCGGTACAACTACACCGACAAGGCGCTCTACAACCAGCTCTTGTACTTTGACGCAATCTTTGATGTTGTCAAGGCCAAGGAGAAGAAGTTGAGACCCATCATCTACGACCAGGACATGGTGGCACCGGAGTTGAGCACGGGTCAGTTGAACGCTCTTGCGGAGCAGAACAGAGCAATGTTTGAGCATTGCAGAGAGGTGGTCAACAAGTACTTGGCCGACTGTGGTCGCCGGTACGTGAACATGAGGAGCATTTTCGAGTTCATGGTCTAACGTTTGTATACTAGCAGGGAATAAAGGAATTATATTGACATACTTACATCAACGCCGAGGGGACCAAGGTGCCACGGAGCTTCTGTTGAGCTTCGATGGTCTCAAACAAGCCCTTGAACGTGCCCTTTCCAAAACCGTTGTGGTGATGTCGTTGGATGATTTCCAAGAACAACGTAGGCCTATCGTGAAGCGGTTTGGTGAAGATCTGGAGGATGTAGTGGCACGAATTCCTGCCCCGTTTGTTTTTGTACTTTGACGCCGGGTCAAAATCAACAAGAATATGATGTTCCTTCAACTCTTCAAACGACTCGAAAAGCTCAATGTCGTCCTTGGCCAAACGCTCCTCCAAGTTGGTGTAGTATGTTTCAGAGATGGTGTTGAAGTCGATACCTCTGGAACGCATTCCCTTGACCACTTGAAGAATATCTCTTGTTCTGAGAGCAATATGCTGAACGCCAGGGCCTTTGTAGAATTCGTAGAACTCCTCAATCTGGCCCTTCATCTTGCCCTTTGCAGGCTCATTAATAGGCATCTTGACTTTCCCGTTTGCACAAGCCATCACGATGGATTTCAACGCCGTGGCGCCAGTCGACACATCCTGTTCATCGACCGACCAAAATTTGTGGAATCCAAACGCCGAAGCGTAAAATCTGGCGTAGGGCATCATTTCGTCCCAGGTGAAGTTCTGAACGCAGTGGTCCACGGCAAATATCGGCACCGGGTTGCCTTCGGCCAAGTCTGTGACCAAGGAGTCCCGGTAGAGAGGCAAAAATGGCCCGGTAAAGTTGATATTTTGCACCAAGGTGTGGCGAAGATCGGACCCTGGAACACCCACCACGGCAACCTTGACTGCACCGTTTTCGTCTTCGACCAGTACTGGTTCTCTTAAGGAGACAGCGCCGGCCTCAATTGCTTTTTTATAGGCTATTTTGGCGTCCGTCACGGCAAAAGAAACGTCCATGACACCCATACCATGTGCATTCACAAAACGATCAATCTCTGTAGCTTCCTTAGCATCGTAGGCCAATTGTTCTGCAGCCTTGGCCAATTCGTGGAAGGAGGTGCCGCCTCCACGGACCTGGAGCGTAACAGGCTGTTTTTCGAAATTTGGCGGCCCGGCTTTGGCATTTCTGGATCCTGGTCTCAGGTCTCCTCGACCCAAGGTGTTGATCACCTCAAATACACATTCGTCTTTTTTCAAGACATGGGCTGCTAGAGCCACGGATCCAGACTCCAAGCCTCTGTAGGCGACCTCTTTGAATCCAAGAGACAACTCGAAAAAGCGGGCCATCTCTTTGGCGTTCGAGGTTGCAAAACGTATGGCATGGAACCCAACGATGCCATCCAAGGGAAGCTTGTTGTTTTGGTGGCCGCCCCGCAAGAGCTCGCTGACGTCAAAAGGCGAAGTTTTCTCTACTTTACGAGAGTAAAATGGGAGTTCTCTAAGAAGAGTCATGGTGGTGTGGGGGAAAATCGCCAACACAGAAGCGCCTTTAAATGGCTGCAAAATGAGACTGCGAAGAGGGTCTCCTTCGGGCATGACGCCGTGGTGAAGCAGTGGATTGTGGTGAAGCGGGGAAGAGCAGCCGTACGGAAGGATTTGGGATATTCGTTGGTTGGGCAATCTGGTTGATGTCATTTGGTGGTGGTGTTTGTAGGGTGATTGAGGTGGGGCTTGGTGGATTGAGGGTCCTGGTTGTTTCGACTGGGGCGGTGACCAAATTTCAATAACTATCTTGAAAGATCTTTTAATACCCCTTAGGAACATGTTTCTCGGACAATTGTACATTCCAGCACCAGGAGGCACGAACAATGTGCTCTCTATCGCATTGTAGGTCGATTAAGGTACACAATGTGCCCGAGAAGGATGCGGTCAACATCGGTCTTGCGGTGGTTCGAGGCGAGGATTAGTTTCCCTTGATGTTTAGGAATGATAATTCGAGGTTAAGTTGTATAAAGCTATCGGTGATGAGTACTTACTACGGCACTGTGTGCGCTATCTGGAACATGGTTACCATTTGAACTGAACCGCACAATGTAAGCGATTTTCAAGTTTTTACATAGATTGCAGTGTCCAAGCTTCAATGTGAATTCGAGAAATTAGCATACTGAGTCAAAAGCTGCTCGGTATTGGGGTTTACCTTCATCCAAGGGGAGTCGACTACCTCACTTACAGAAGTCATGAAACAACACACCAGAACTTCCAACAACCACACCCACACCCACACCCAAACATTTTTTTGCCAAATAGAATATCTTCAAAAGAATATCACCAACTCCATCTGAAGCACCTCAAAATGCCATATATTACCATATATCCTAGGCCGATTTGCGCAGCACCTCACAGACTGCCATATTCCAACCTCGCAGAAATCCACCAAAATCAACATATCACCATTGTCCTCAACCTACAAACCCCTTTTCCCCATTTCATCCAAAAATCCAAAATAAAAAGACATCTTGCCTCCCCGTGCTTGCAATCCCCAGAGGGGTCGTGCGCGCACCGCTATATCTAGACTTGAACCCACGAAAAACACCAACATCCACACCACAATGAACTTCAACAAGGGCGCCGGCAACCCAGGCCAAGGAGCCCAGCAGTTTGCAGGACGCCAGCGGCCCAATGCCATGCTCCCTCCCCAATTCCAGCATTTCACGCCTCAGCAGCTTCAGGAGCTTGAAAATAACCCTCAGTTCCAAAACACCATGCGCCAGTTTTACCAGAACAAAATGTTGCAGCAACAGCAGGCCTTGCTCAGACAGCAGCAGCAGGCTGGTATGAGTCAGGGGATGGGCCAGATGGCAGGACAACCAAACCAAAACCTAGCACAAACTCCCAACCAGAGGATGATGAACAGAAACATACCGTCAGGCTACATGCCACAAAACCAGCAGGCACAACAACAACTCCAGGCGCAGCGTGCAGGCCACCAGGTTCTGGCTCAGGGCCAGCCTATGGGGGGTCCTCAGGGTCACGTTCAAATGGGCGGAAATGGAATGCCTGGAGGTATGAACAACCCAGCTGCTGCTGCGGCAGCAGCAGCGGTGGCGGCGGCTTCTCTGTCCAACTACAACAACGTGCAGAAATTCGGAGGCCAGTTTCCTCCACAGGGTGCCAGTGCTCCTGGACAAATGCCTATGGGAGGTCAGCCTGGTCAAGCCAGAAATAGCTTGTACGGCGCCATGGGCGGAATCCCCGACCCTTCTTCGGCAGCTGCCATGGGCGGGAACCCGGCTGCCTCATCCATGAACAGCATGCTGACGATTCCTGGGCCCATGGCTGGGGCTGTGCCTGCGGGAGGTGCATCTGGACCTCAACAGAGCTCAAGAACACTGCGTTTCGGCAACACAGAGGAGCCTGAGTATCCTCCAGGATTTGGGCCCGATTCCTTGGCCAAGCTTCCTTTGAAGCAGCTCGCATCGCTCGACGAGTGGTCTCAAAAACTAGCTGAGGAGGGCAAAGAGGTGCCTCTCGACATCAAGATCTACGAGGACATTATCAAGAAGGATAGTTCTTATCTCCGTGGCTCGCTGCAGCAATCCAAAAAGAACAAGACGATGATCGAGAAAATGGCTCGTGACATCAAAACATACAACACCATCAAACAGCTCCGAATGAACGCGATCAACGCCTCCGACAAAAACCAATACAACAACAGTATTTGGGGTGAGGGCTACCTGGGCTACGGTAACGGTATCAGCAACACCGCCACGCAGGTGATCTTGCCTCAGAACAACAAGCCATTTTCCCGTGTGCCCGACATTGGCTACACTGAAAAGCAACTAAATGAGGCCGTTTTGCGAGGTTTGAAGACAGGCAAAAACAAGGCTTTGGTCCCCATTCGTCTAGATTTTGACCAGGAAAGAGATAGGTTCAAGCTTCGAGACACATTCTTGTGGGACTTGGGCGATGAAACGTACAGAATCGAGAACTTCGTCCGTACGCTTATCGAGGACTACAAGTTCATTCCAGACCAGCATTTCCATTCCATTATGAATACCGTCAACGAGCAAATCAAGGATTTCAAACCCATTGTCGATAACCCAATGGGCGAGTTGCGGGTTCCTATCAAAATTGACCTTGTCATCAACAACACGCAATTCACGGATCAGTTCGAGTGGGACATCTTGAGTCTCAGCGAAAACGATCCTGAGGAGTTTGCAACTATTCTTTGTGATGAAATGAGTTTACCTGGCGAGTTTGTCACCGCCATTGCATTCAGTATTCGTGAGCAAGCGCAGCTTTTCCACAAGGCGTTGTTTCTTGTGGGCTACAGCTTTGATGGTTCGCTTGTTCGTGAAGATGAGATCCGCTCTCACCTACTCCCGCCTTTACGTGTGCTCACTAACAGCGAAGCCGGAGAGCAGGTGGAGGATTTCATCACCACGTTGCGTAATCCAGCCGCTGTATCTGATTTCTCGCCTGCTTTGAACAAGCTCACACAGCTGGAGGTGGAGAAGATTGATAAGGAGATGGAGAGAGAGTCTCGTCGTCGTAGACGTCACAACAACGACTTCAGTTACAACGAGAACGGACCAAGCATGGGCGTGAACAGGGGAACTGCTTCCAGAAGAAGCGGGCTTCATATTGGAAGAGGTGTCAAGACGACGCTACCCGATCTCTCAGAGATTCCCAAGATGTTCCGCACGCCTATGCCCTCGAGTATCTTGCCTGGTGGTATTGATCTTGGTGTTCCTGAAATTTACGGCTACAATGAGCTTATTGTTAACCGTACGCAGATCAGAAACCCTGATTACAAGCCTCCTAACGCTGAGCTTGTCACCTATGCTCGTGACGGAGGTTCGTTCTTCGTGAAGATCAAGATGCCTCGCAGATACCATTAAAATTCTACCATAGTGTACCTAATTAGACCTGTAATATAAATAAAACCACATTGCGTGTTGAATAGACTACTGTAATTTTTAGACCGCTTTGAGTGCCTCTGTGATGTCTTCGATCAAGTCGTCCACGTCCTCAAGACCTACACTGACACGAAGCAACGAAGGTGATACAGTGTTGTCTGACATGGCTCGCCATTCGATCAAACTCTCGACTCCACCTAAAGAAGTAGCGTGGTAGAAATACTTCAATTTTGAAGGGAACTTTCTGGCTTGGTCCTCGTTCTGGAGCTCGAAAGCAAATGTAGGGGAGTGTCCACCCTTCAATTGGCGTGCAACAAATTCATCTTTTTGCAAGGAAGAATGGTGAACTTTGGCAATTGCAGGATATTTGTCCTTACTTTCGTCCAAGAACTTGGCTATCTTGGTGGCACTGGCACTCTGCTTGAGTACTCTCAATTCAAGGGTCTTCAAACTCCTGAGCAAGAGGGACGACTCCAAATTGGCAATGTTTGTTCCCAAATAAATCCGGTCGTCTATCAATTCACGCCAGACCTTCTCACTCTTTGTCAAAAGCACGCCAGCTAACAAATCTGAATGACCGCCGAAATACTTGGTAGCAGAGTGCATCACTAGATCAGCTCCAAACTCAAATGCATCCTGCAAAGGCGGTGGGGCAAAAGTCGAATCAACAACAAGAAAGGCGCCTTTGGCATGGGCCTTATCGGCGAAATATTGAATGTCAAAGACCTGAGAATCCGGGTTCACTGGAGTCTCCAAGTGAATGACGTCACCCTCGCCCAATTTGTCCAAATCCTCGTCTTTCAAGCTGAGTTGCTTCAATCCATGGTTTCGTTTCCAGATATCAGCGATTCCATGAACACCGTGGTAGCCCTGCCCGATGCACAATACCTTGGGGTTGAGGTGGGTGTAAGCGGCATAGACGGCACTGAGGCCAGAATTGTAAGCAACAGCATATGAGTTTGTGATTTTTCCAATCGTCAGTTCCACCAATTCACCCGATGGGTGGCCCTCACGCGAGTAGACTGGTTTGCCCACCTCATATGGGAAGGGTCCAGGAGGTGCTTTTTCAAGCTTATCGGGATCATTGGTATACTTGAATGTAGTGGAGATGTTAATTGGTGGAGTAACATCAGGCACCGTGTGGAGGTGGTCGGCACCGTGGATTCCGGTTGTAGATAAGCGGGGCATGACTATCTGAATTGTCGACTATTTGGGTTAGGATATCGGGTATTTATATGAGCCAAAGTGTGGATGCGCACGGATGCATGAGATGCATATGGGGCGATTTGGGAATTAGTCAGTTTTGGTGCTGGAAGCGGATTTTTCAATTTTCCAGACCGCATATACGGGAATGTCGACTCCAGCGATTTTGGTGGCAAATTTTCCCTGTTCGGAAAGCAAGACTGTGTCGTGTTGACGGGCGTCAATTCTTGAGTCCGGGTTCATAAGTAATACGTCAAATATGCCACTTTGCGCAAACCCATGTGCTTTGGTGCAGGACAACAGAACCGCTAGGAGATATGGACCTCTTCGATGGGCTTCTACAACGGTAAAACGGGCAAAGCTCTGGGGCTTTTGTTGGGCTTCCGCAATCAGAGATCTGGATTCTATCGTATTTTCGGGTTTTTCAGCGGTGCATTGTGTACCCTCTTTTGCCACAAATGTATAGTTTCGAAGCCTGTACCATTCTGTGAAAGCCCTAACCGAGGCATTGCTCTGGCTGGTGAGTTGGTTGGTGTCGCTCATGGGCTTGATAACATTTTCTGTGATGTGGCGGTATCTCGGCTCGAATTTCGGCCTTTTGGAGGCAGGTACATCGAATAGAAGACTTTTGGAGGAAAAAGCTGATTTTTCGTTTGACAGGGGCTGATTAAGTATGGGTTTTGCAAGCAGCAGAACTTGCGATAATGACATTTTCAGCGTCAGTTTGAGGCGTTTTTCGGATGCATGGTTGGGTCTATCTGGATCTATGTTTCTATTGTGGCGGGACGGTAGTAGTTTAGACTGGTCTTTTCTATGCAGGTTTGGTTTGTTCACCAGTGACGAGACGTCATCTAGAGGCCGTCTTTTGGCCTTTCGTAGGTGGAATTTCTCAAAATCGTCCATACCCAATAATGGATGCTTTATTTACATTATGAGATCTGATGCCGCGAGATGTGCGGTGGGGTATTTTGTGCAGGTCGTTGATAACGATCCAGGCCTCCACAATTACGGAATTCTACGAAGTGAAAAATTTTTGGTCGTAACGTCTTTTCTTATTTACGTGCGGGAGAGCTTCCTGGCAGACTAGCTGTTGGGTTGCTCACAACTTGGCGGTGACCTTACGGCCCACAGTGGACTTGATCAAGCCGTTAGGGTCAGACGAAGGGTAGAACAAATCGTCGTTGCTGATGCCCTTCCACTCCAAGTTGAACAAGATAAAGTGGTTGTTGGGCAAGGAGTAGGACACCGTGTCCACAGCAGGAGCAGCGTCCAAGATCTCCTGCGACATGTTGTACATGGTGGCCTGGACCGAAGGAGAGTTCTCCAAGGCGAAACGGTCCAAGGTGATCTTTCTGGCAGCATTGTAGACATTGTCAAACAAGCCGTCTCTGGCCTTCTGCATGGTGTCGTCGAGGGAGCTCAATTGCAGCTCAAACTTCCACGAAGCGTCAACGTCAGTAGACAAGATTCTGTCCTCGGTAGGCTTCAAAGTCGTGTAGTCACAGTCGTGGTAGCCGTAGAACATGGAGCCGGTCGACTTCAACACCTTCAAGTCCTTGATACCAGAAACGATGGTGGTCTTCTGGGAAGCCTTGTCGTAGGTCAAGAAGGTTCTGCGGGTCTCGGAGCCCTGGTGGCGGAACGAGTGGTCGTGCAACTTGCCGTTCACCTCGTACTTGTTCCAGAGGTCCTGGACAATGGTCACCTCAACACCGGAAACGTGGTTGTACTTTGTGGTGAAGTGCTTTGCAAGGTGAGCAGCGAATCTCTCGATGGGCCAGACCTCGGTGTTCTTGGCCTCGATGAGAATGGTGTTCTTGACCGTGTCGGTTGGAACGATGGGGGCGTTGTCGGCCTCGGTGTAAGAAATGTCAAAGTTACCTCTCAAGAGCACCTGGCAGTTGGCCTGCAAGACCTCCTGGATCTTGGGGTTTTTCTTGTCACGCTTGACTTTCAAGAACTTAACGTTTGCTTTGCCGTAGGAGGAGTCGATCAAGGACATGTTGGTATTTGCTGGGTGGGATTTGGTGGATCTGGATCGGAGGATTTGGGCTCATACTTATAGTGCTTATCGCGGGGTGCGATGCTTCGGCGATCGCCGAGCGATAAGGCTGTCCATAGTGAAGCGAGGGGTCCAGTGAAATGGGGCATTTGGGGAGGTTTTTTAATTTTGAAAAAAGGGAACCTGGTTATTTTTGGCGCTCCGATTCCAAATCTTTTGTTTTTTTCCAAAAATTCCCACGTTTGTGTGGATTCGGTGGACCCTGGTGGGTCCGATGGCTGCGAAAACGGTGTACCGAAACAGACTCACGCCATCTTGCTATCTCCCCTCAACGGCCGGCCTTTCGGGGATCTCCATTTCGGCTGCTGCCGACTGCACAATTTCCAAAAATCTTGAAGGTTTGAAAAGGCGGGTTTTAGTATGGCCAGGTCGGCATCGGCTTCCCGGTGGAAATGAAAAGACGAGGACCAGATGAGATTGGCTGTTTTGGTATGTAATGGAGAGTTGAGTCGAGGGCACTAGCACTAACTGATATGACTAATCTTCAAAAAAGAGCTTTTTGAATTGTTGAATGACTAGTCTCCATCCACGGCCTATGGTAGCTGGTTGTAGATCTTTCGCAGCCATTCCCCACCAACCAGAGCCGTGCAGTAGAATAGACGATGATGGAAAGTGGGGCGGCAAAAAGAGCATTTTTCGGTTCTTTCGAATGTGGAAATTGACATTTCGTTTTGGATTTGGAGGTGACCAGCGCTAGCATTGTGGGGTGGATGTCTGGGGGTAGGTTTGAGGTGGGCTCGGGGCTGAGCGAGGTGGATCGTTTGGGGGCTTTGGGATGAGGTCATTGTGGGGGTGGTTTTGGATATGGCGTGGTTTTGGAAAATTGGCATGTGGGGGATTCTGGTATGGCTGGGAGGTGGGTTTTTTGTAGATGTAGTAGTTTTCGCAGCCACCATGGCAGGTGGGTCATCGTGTAGTATAACCAGGTGTGATGTGGTCACAGGAGGTTTTCTGAAGAAGATAATCTGAAGAAGAGGTACTGGAGAAAATAGCGGATGATGAATCCAAATGTAATTTGAGATACTTATAAAATCACTCTGAGTTTTAACAACATGTCTAGGGTGTGTGAGAGGATTACGTTAATGATTTGTACTTATCTCATTTTGTTAGCTCTATAGATGATTTTAAACTGGAGTATCATAGTCTGAAAGATTCCAGTCAACGGAAAATGCTTGATATGTCTTGATTGAGCTCGAGCCATCAAAGTCACATTGGTGGTAGTACCTCATCACCTCAGAGAATTGTGATAGACAACCTCAACAAGCTTACCATGAGTTTCGATAGTGAAATCTTCAAATATGATAGCAATTGACGTAGAATCGGGCCAACTTCAATGAAATTACTCTGAAATTCAACGTAATACGTCATATCTGTGTGTACTGAGAATGGCTGCAAACAGGCTAACCGAGCCCTCCTCAAGGCTACCCTGTTTTACCCAAACATCTCCTTTTTTGCAAAAAATGAACATTTAACTATTAACAATTAATACCTAGTAGAACCACAAAATCCTGCTCAAATCAACCACGGAACCACTCCTCTTCCCTGCTTCAACCTTCTCACTAGCCTGTTTCTCATACCTCTTCACCAACACCACCACCTCCACCTCCACTACAACCACATCCCACATCCCACAGCCTGAAACCGAAAAATCCCAAACCCTCCCACCAAATCTCCAAACTCCCCCCAAACGACAAAAAATCCCCCAGAATCCCCCAGAATCCCCCACAATCCACATCCACCTCACGTGCACTTCAAGGCATCGCTTCATCGCATCATCGCAGCAGCTACTACACCATGTTTCGGACCGTCCAGCGCCATTCCCGACGGTTCCGGGGCACCGTGCCGGCGCCGAGACCGAAAAAGAAATCTCCGGCGGCGCTTTCCAAAGAAGCTCTTGCCGTGACCCAGGAGGTCTCACAGCAAACCAAGAAGAAGTACTACGATCCGTCCAATGTGACCTTGGACTTTGAGCTTCTGAACGCCAACTTGGTGAATAAGATATTGGGGGACTCGAGGGACAGAGTGGCTAAACGGCTAGACCAGCCTGGGAAAAGGTGGAAACAGGATCACAAGTTGGACATGGAGGAGACCATACGGCAGTTTAGACTGTACTTGATGGACGGGAGAATATCGCTACAACACAACCTCCAGCCTCTAGATATAGGCGACTTGGTTTTGCTCGATTCCCAGAGCACATTGGCACACCTCGTGGTGCAGAAACCGCAGGATCTCAAGACTTCTACCTACACCTTGGTGAACCATGAAGGTGAAATAGTGTATGTGCATCGGGACCAGATCAAACTCAGGGTTCCTGGCGTGGTGCCTCCTTCGAAAGTGGAGGAACTCGATATGATCCAGCTTGAGAAAAAACACCCTGGATTGGCGCCTATCGGGTTGCCTGATTCCAAGTTTGCAAGGTCTCCAGAAGCTTTGCCTGAGGGCTGGCTGCCCAAGGAGGAGAAACTGCAAAAGGGTTCCGATCAGGAGCTTCTGACGACAGGCGACGATTTCATTATGGCCCAGGCGGCGTCGCAATTGCTCACGGACACAGATGTGATTACTTATATTGTGCCTACACCTGTGAGAAGGATCATTTCCAAACCGCTTGTCGATACCGCCATTCTGAGCTTCAGAAAGATCAATTCTTTTACTCGCGTGCTCGACAATGTTCACAAGATTTTGCAGTACGACGAGAATAACAGCCTCATCTCGCTGGCTCGGTCGATTCCTATCTTGGAGCTTCTCAACAAGGTGTGGAACTTTGAACGCAAGTACAAGCTTCTCGAACACGCCGACGGTCAGGAGGAGTTTCGGATTCTCAATGCCCAGATTGACTACTTGGGAATCCATGGTCCTACGGTTCTCGGAAAGCCCGTTGTGGAGGTGCCCAGTGAGGAGTATAAAAAGGAAGATTTTCCCATCAGCTCCTACATTGGCTTCATGGTCGCTTTGGCCCAAAATCCACGGAAATGGAAGGTCAACTTCCAGCACAACTCCAAAGTGCCTCTCAATGTGGATATTCTCCCCATAAGCAAGTCCATTGATACAGCTGACGCATTGGACTTTTTGAAGGGCACTGGCATCAAGCAGTTCACAAGGTTCTATACTGACTTTGTGGCGAAGAAGAACTACAAAGAACCCAAGAAGCTCAAGCAGGTCATGAGCGTGCTCAGGGACTTTGTGGCAGGCAATATTGTTGAAGATAGAATGTTGGAAAGTGTGGTGGGAAACCTCATACGAAGCATTGACCACGCTTTGGATCTCAGAGGTCTTCGCAAGAGGAAGGATGTTGCTTATTCGTATGAATACTCCAAGAGCAGGGCACTTGAGATCATCACTTCCTTGGACCAAGGGCTCTGGTGCAACCCTTCTCGGTGGTCTTCTTCACTTAATCTTCCCGATACGGGGGTTTCACCCAAGAGCGACCTTGGCAAGCAATACTACGACTTTGTTGATCAAAAGTTTAATACGAAGGATGCACTTTCGGAAGCCGTCAAGGGTGCTTCTGCTACGGAGGCATTGCTGGATTTGAGTTTGGAGGCTTTCGAGGATGAGATCAAAGAAGCCAAATCGCCAGTTACCGATAGCTGGCTTGCTTCTGATTTCCACCAGAAGGATCCATATGCTTCAGTAAGGGAGGATTTCCCTAACCTTCCAATTTATTGCATTGACTCGGCCACTGCTCATGAGATTGACGATGGTATCTCCATTGAATACTTGGACGACTCGTTCAAGGTCGTTGTGCACGTCGCTGATCCAACATCTGTTCTCAAAGATTCTTCCATGCTCAATCTGATCGCCTTCGAGAAAGGCACCACAACCTACTTGCCTGAAGGTGCGTCCTTGATGATGCCTCAACTCATTTCGAAAGTCTGCGGTATGGACGCTCCAGGAAAGAATAGATCATTTGGTGTGGAGATGTTGGTAAGCCGCAAAGATTTGGAAACTTTCGAAAAGTCACCAACCTCTGAGGCTGCCCATAAACTCATGGAGAGCATTGTGGAGTCAACAAAGATCAAGTTTTTGAACATCCAGGACAATGCTGTTTGCATCACGTATGAAGAGGTGAATAAGATTTTGGCTGATGAATCCAATTGCGAGCGGTTTCTGCAAGGCACGATAGACGGCCAGGAGTCCGATCCTTTTAACCTCTCTAGAGTTGCATCGGCATTGAAAAGTGTCAGGGAGTTTTTGGGTGCACTTGATTTCCCCAACGAGTCGAGCAAGACCTTCGTTGATTACAAGCCAAAGGGCGATGTTGAACAGCCATACTTCCAGAAAACAGAAAAGGGTTTCAGAATAGCCATGGTCAGTGATGCCGAGCAAGTGCCAGTCATCAGCATCGAGAAAGATGTGGATCAGTCCCAAGAGTCCAAGTCTCAGGAACTAGTGTCCAATTTCATGGTGACTGCAAACCACTGTGCTTCCAGTTTTGCCATCAAGAACGACGTCCCAATCATCTTGAGAACACAGAGGTTGAACCTAAACTCTGACTTCAAAGCTGACATCAAGGCGCTCATGGACAAACACAGAAATGGTCCTGGAATGACCGTTCAAGAAATGGCTGATTTCGGCAAGCACATGACCGCAGCCAACTACGAGACCAATCAACATGGGCACGAGTCCCTCGGGCTTTCGTGCTACTCGCATTTTACGTCTCCCTTGAGGAGATACACCGATATGGTGAACCAGTGGATGCTTGGACAGTACCTTGTGAAGCAAGGCGAATGGACCAAAGAGCAGCAGAAGGATTTATCTGGAATCGCCAACCACCTTCAGATTTGTCTGATGATCAACAAGCAAGCGCAGAGGTCGTCTACTCGGTTCTGGCAAGCAAGCTTCCTCAAGCAATACTTTGAGCAGTTGAAGCGTGGTGACGTTTCCGAGCCAATAGAGTTTGAGTTTTTGCTTTTGGGAGACGCCAAACGAGGCGATGTGAGGTGCAAGCTCAAGTACTTTGACCAGATGAAGACGACAATTGTCGCTGACGACGGCGTCAAGAGGCGGTTCAACAGCGGCGAGTTTGAGGTTGGAAAGGTGGTGAAGCCCACCTTTAAGATAAAAAAGCTAGACATGATAGAGCATGAGTTTACCGTTGAGCTCACCAGTACATAGGCAGCGGAATACAGGTAATGGTAGGATGGTGTTACAGGAGTCTATGGACCGTTGAGGCTTGTTTTTGGGGCGAAGTGAGACATTGAGGCTTGTTTATGTCTGAAACGTAGGCGGTGTTGAAATCGACTAAATCTTCCATAGGTTGTAGAATCTGGTGATTCTGATGCACCTTAACTATCTTGGCTGCGAAATCCTCAGGGTGTTCTCTGCAAAGAACCCTTCCGTGCACGGAAGAGAAGGATGGATTTCTTGGAACTCCAAAAACGAACTGAAGTTCCAAAAACCAACAATTCCGTTCCAAGTAGCAAACATGCACTGTGTTTCGCCTCTAAAGCTTAAACCTTAATCGTCGAAGGCACCGTTCTTACGCATATGACGACACGACGATCTGGATCTACCGCCGCGCGAATCACGAACAATGGATAGAAGAAAATGCTTGGATGGGAGGGTAGAGCCGTTGAAGTAAACAAATGGGTTTTAGAAAATAAATGAAAACAACGTGAAGAGAACGTTTTTGGATGAACCTCTGGACCATGCAAAGTGGCAGTATCTCAAAATTCAAGCCCTCGCTGAAGGAGCTGGGGAACGCCCTGTGGGCTTCTAGAACAAAGCAAAATGGAAGTTTTCACGGTGACTTCATTTTTTTTCTTCTTCTCCGCTCGTCAAATCAAACGAGAGAACGAAATCCAAGAAAACAAAAATCCACCACAACAAACCCCCCATCCGTCTGAGTCAAATTCGTTTCATTGTACGGAGATTTATTTTTGTTTCTGGCGCTGCGCTTCGTGAGGCTGAGAATTTGCAACTTCGGGCCTGCTGTGAAACAAAGCCAACAGCAATCAAAACCGGATGTGGCGGGATGAAAATACGATTTTGTGATTTCCAGAAAACTCCAACTCTTGAAAACTTCAATTTTGATTTCCTTTATTCCCGCCTTTTTGCTCTGACTGCCCCTTTGAGTATGCATTGCGGTGTTATGGTGCTCGTCAGCTCTGCACAGACAGCATACCGAGATGGAGAAGGACCCCGAATGCCAACGTCTTTTTCCACAAAACCGGCGTTTTTTCAAAATTCCAATCTAAGCGTGCAATTCTCCAGCCCATTCTCTCGTAGTGCCCACCTTCCGTTTTCGTAAATTTTGGGGACCCTGCCTCAAATCATCCCCTCCTTCTTCAATCTGTTGTTTGTGCGTATGCGAATTGCTAACATCAACCACTTTCTTCCTGATGGCCGATTCTGATTCACAGAGTACGTCGACGTCGGCGGTGTTGGTCACGTTGGTGTCCAACCTGATTCTTTTGGGCTGCTTTGTTGCCGGCTTTTTGATCCTCAGACTCAAGTTCAAGCGAATCTACTCCCCCAAATCCTCCTTTGATTTGGTGCCCGAGGAGAAGAAGCCCGAACCGCTTCCTCAGGACCCCGTCAGATGGATCTTTGTGTTGCTCACGAAACCACACTCCTTTATTCTCCAGCAGTGTGGCATGGACGGTTATTTCTTCTTGCGCTACCTTATCATGACTGCCTTCACCTTCATGGGAGGCATGTTGACCTGGATCATCTTGCTCCCTGTGAACGCTACCAATGGTAACGGCCACGAGGGCTTGGACCAGCTTTCCTTTGCCAATGTCAAAAACCCCAGAAGATACTATGCCCACGCCTTCATGTCCTGGTTCTTCTATGGCGGTGTCATTTACATGATCTACAGGGAGCTCTTCTTCTTCAACTCGCTCCGTGCAGCCGTGTTGCTGTCGCCCCGTTACGCCAACAAGTTGTCGTCCCGTACTGTGTTGTTCCAATCGGTGCCTGACGCTTTCCTTGACGAGAAGCAGTTCATGAAGCTCTTTAACGGTGTTAAGCGCATCTACGTCTCCAGAAACGTCCGTAAGTTGGCCCACAAGGTCAGACAGAGGGAGAACGTTGCCATGCAGTTGGAGGCCGCCACCACCAAGCTCTTGACTGCTGGCATGAAGGCCAAGAAGAAGGCCGACAAGAAGGGAATCCAGGTGGACAATCCTGATGACATCAACTCGTACGTTCCTGAGAACAAGAGACCCAGAGTCAAGGAGGGCGGCTTCTTCTCCAAGAAGATCGACAAGATTGAGCACTGTCGCCAGAAGCTTGTGGAGTTGGACAGGGAAGTCAGGAAGCTCCAGAAGGTCTACAGGCACGCTACCCCCAAGAACTCGCTTTTCGTGGAGTTTGAGGACCAGTACAGTGCCCAGATCGCCTACCAAAGTGTCATCCACCACAACCCATTGAGAATGACCCCAGCATACATTGGCTTCAACCCAAGCGACATTGACTGGGACAACATGCGTCTTTTCTGGTGGGAGAGAATCACCAGGAAGTTCATTGCTCTGGCAATCATTATCGCCTTGATCATCTTCTGGGCTATTCCAGTGGCCTTTGTCGGTGTTATCTCTAACATCAACAACTTGACCGAAAAGCTTCCATGGTTGGGTTGGATCCAGAACTTGCCTGACTGGTTACTCGGTGTTGTCACTGGTTTATTGCCAACCATTATGTTGAGTTTGTTGATGACCATCTTGCCTATGTTCATCAGAGCAATGGCAAAGATTGCAGGCTGTGTTTCTTTCCAGCACACCGAGGACTTCACTCAAACATGCTACTACGGCTTCTTGCAGGTTAACAGTTTCCTCGTGACTGCTTTGGCCTCCTCTGCTACGGCTGCAGTCACATCCATCATCAACAATCCTGCTTCCGCCATGACTCTTTTGGCTGCCAACTTGCCCAGATCCTCCAACTTCTTCATCTCATACCTCATCTTGCAAGGTTTCACCATCGCTGGTGGTGCTCTTTTCCAGGTTGTCACTTTCTTCTTGTTTTACATTCTTGGTGCCGTGTTGGACAAGACACTCAGAAAGAAGTGGGGCAGGTTCTCTGGCTTGGGTTTGGTTATGTGGGGTACTACCTTCCCACTTTTCACCAACTTGGCTGCTATCACGTTGGCTTTTGCCATTATTGCACCAATGATCTTGTTGTTTGGCTGCGTGGCTTTCCTTTTCGCCTTCATCGCCTACGGTCACAACTTGACCTACTGTTTCGTCGAGGCTCCTGACAACAGAGGCCAGCACTACCCCAAGGCATTGTTCCAGACTTTCACTGGTCTCTACTTGGGCCAGGTTTGTTTGTTGGGTTTGTTCGTTGTTGGTAAGGGTTGGGGCTGTGTGGCCTTGCAAGCTATTGGCCTTGGTTTCACCATCTTCTGCCACCGTAACTTGCTCATTGCCTTTGGTCGTTTGACTACTGTGCTTCCAATCGATTGCATGAAGCCATTGGATGGTGTCTCGCACACAGTGTCGTTCAAGGGCGAGGCCGACTTTAAATCGAAGATCTTGGACAAGCAGAAGGGATCTGAACATCAAATCCTTGAGGAGGACAAGGAGGACCAAGCCAGAGTGGAGGAGGAGGCTGGTCAGCTTGAGAATGGCCACAACCTCGTGCCCTTGTTGGCTGACCGTGACTTCAAGACCACCGAATCCGAGAACTGGTTTGTTCGTTTCGTGCGTCCCGATGTCTTCTTGAACTTTAGACACAGTAAAAGGATGATCCCTGCCACCTACAACATGGAGGAGGAGGTTGCCGATGACAAACATGCATACGACCAGCCGGCAATCTCTGCACAGATGCCCAAGCTTTGGATTCCTAGAGACCCATACGGATGGTCTAGGAGGGAGATTGAAGACAATGAAAAGATCATCGAGGTGACTGACGAGAACTCTGGTTTCAGCGAGAAGTGCGTGCCACAGTTCCTTGGTGAGTCTCCTCTTTAGACGACTATCAGCTGACACAGTAGTTGTGTGACTTTTCGTTGCCCAACTATATTTGGGGCTCTGCCCTCTTGATTTCAACGATTCACTTACATGGCGATCCTATTGTCCTACGATTCAAAACAACGGCCCCATGGGGCCAAATTAATAGCATACCAATACGATGCGGATGTACGCCCGGAAATTGGCGCTGCCACAGGCGCCGCGAGTTACCCATGATTCTGAACGGCCTCTCTTGAGATATGATTTGAGATACTTCTGTCCTTGCTTTCTTGTTCCCGTATTTTCCTCATTTTTCCAGCCGCTCTTTTGTGAGGTGCATTTTCATAGGCATCGAAGTGGGGCCGCGGATTTACTCAAAGGAGATAACATTCTCACCATAAATAACCGATGTACCCCAGGTTTAAAAACCTAAGTCTTTTTTCCATGACCACTCAGGGCACCCGGGCCATGTCCCGTCTTCAGCTCACGCAAAACCATCTTAGAGCAAATTCCTCGATCCCCCATTTTGAAAGTGTAACTGTTGGCGCTAAATACTCTCCAGAGTATAAGAACTATGCTGTGGATCCTATACTGAACAAGGTTGTGCTGTACTTCCACGATATTCCATTACTGCAGAAGAAGGAGGCTAGAACCGCCACCATGGTTGTGGAGGTGCCTCGCTGGCTGAATGGTAAATTCGAAATCGACCCCAAACAACCGGGCAACCCAATTGTCCAAGATATCAAGAAGAACAAGGTCCGTTTTGTGAGGAATCTTTTCCCATACCACGGATATGTGCATAACTACGGTGCTCTCCCACAGACCTGGGAGGACCCTACGAAGAAGAGCAATGTTGAGGACTTGTTTGGTGATGGAGACCCATTGGATGTATGTGAGATTGGAGCCAAGGTGCTACCCACAGGCAGTATTGTGACCGTCAAGGTCTTGGGCTCGTTGGCCTTGATTGACGATGGCGAATTGGACTGGAAGGTGATTGTTATCAACACTGAAGACGAATTGGCACCTAAGCTCAATGACATTGCAGATGTGGAGAAGGAGTGTCCTGGTCTTCTTGCGGCCACGAGGCTGTGGTTTAAGGACTATAAGAAGCCTGACGGCAAACCTGAGAACGTGTTTGCCTTTAAGGGTGAGTACTTGGGTGCTGCCGAAACGTGGGAGACTGTGGAGGAGTGCCACGAGGCATGGAGAAAGCTTGTGAGCGGCGAAACAGAGGCAGGAAAGTATGCCATCCAGAATGTCACTTTGGATGGTACTCCAGGAAAAAAGGATGCTTTTGAGTTCAACGATGACGTCTTCGTTGCCTCTGCTGTGTCTGATGCGCTCATTCCCGATGAGGTGCACAAGAGTTTCTACTACTAGGGTGATCTCGGATTGATGGAAAACGGAGGTGGTTTAGACGTTTGGTGTCTGAAAGCCACATACGATGGCAGCTACTGAACCAGACAGAGTACATAGTCGGTGCATCACCCAACGATGCGTTCAATAGCAGGGCATTCAATAGCGATGCATTACTTGAACGTGGCGTAGACATATTTGTCGTAAAAAGGTGATTTTCTTCAATCTACAAATTCAAAGTCACTATCATCCTGGCTCGGACCATTTTGCAGCCATTAGCGCGATGGTAGCAATGCCCAATACAAAGAACCCACCCGGCCACAAATAAACAAATCATAGCCCTTTAATCTAATACTCTATATCGCTAAATCCCACAAACCATATTTTACACCACCCCACGAGCTCTAATATTCACCAGATCACATCTGTCTGGAGTGTGCGCACCAATATCAACATGGAAAAAAAGCGAGTTGCAACCATCAACAACAAAGACTCCACGCCTTTTGAAGCCATGCCTGCCTCTAATTCCGTGTCCCGCTCGCGGGCGCTTCGGCCCATGGAGCAGACCGCCCTGTGGACGTTTGGCTCCGCATTGACCCTTATAAAAGAAGAGCCGCTGCTCCATATTCTCGATGCTTTGGACGAGTTTCTCTTGCATCTGAGAGAGGTGATTCTTCTGGCAAACCCGCTTGCTGGCGGGTCCAAGGATCTTGAAAAAGTTAAAGATATCACCTTGCGTGGGGTGCTCTTTGCGGATGTTCTGAAGAACATAGATATTGCAAACAAGCTTGCCAGGCTATTGAAGGTGGACCCCAAGGAGGCCTTGAGGGTGGTCACGCAAACACAGATGCGTATTCCAGAGTTCGAAGACGTCAAGGGCTCGCTGAGCTTGCTCAATTCGAGAATCAGAGACGAAAAGGATGAGGCCAGAAAGAACGACAAGATCACCATCTACGCCTCAATGCTCCTCAAGGAGAAACGTACCGTGCTCAGAATCGCCAGAGAATGCTTAAACAGACGTTTCAACGAAAACACCACCTCTACTATCCGGAACTTGGGAAGATCGCTTGTGTTGGACTCCAAGTACGCAGAACTGACGATAGATACGCTCAGCGAGGCTGCTATATCTATAACTTCTGGAGCCTACAAAACAGGTGTCGATACATTGGATGAGATTATTTATACCGAGACGCTCCTCTTCATGCTGGAGCAGCTATCGCTCTTGTGTGAGATCTTCGTTTCTTCCATCGGCACGAGGTCTGTGACAAAGTGGTTCGAGTTCATGGACGAAACAAACTTTATGGTTGACCTTGGCTCCTACGTTTCCAACAGAGAGTGCTTTGTTCTCCTCCAATCATTGGCTACAGTCGTATCTCTCCAAGTGCTCGATATCGAGAACCCCTTTGAAGCAAACGATCCATCCTACGTCAATGATGGAAAGGCGTTCAAGCTCATCAACGACATCATTTCCACAAGAAGCATCAACTCCATCGTCAACTACGCGTGGCTCATCATACTATACAAAAAGGCGATTGTGGTGGAGGAGTTTTCTGACTCCCTGTCAGCCTTCACCAAGGAAATCTCCCTCGCAGAAATCAATACCAGCATCACCTTCTTCACTGAGACCCTTGAACTGAGCAGTGTGTTCCAGGATATTATGAAGGTCAACTCTTTCCTCCATTTCGACGAGATTTACTCGATCGTATTGGCCAGCTTGCTTATGGTTGCCTTACCACTCATGCCCATGAATGTCGAAACAGCCACATGCGTTCAACAAGTGCTTAGTCAAGCGCCCCCTGCCGTGGTGGAAAGATTCTACGAGAACAGCGAAGTGATCAACGCCATTGTCTTGTCTCGTGCCAAGTTCCCTGTTAGCATTCCTCCATATCTCAAATTGGCCTCGATCAACGGTAACTTTGCATTCAGTGAGTTCCGTGAGCTCAAGTCGTACATGTCTGTTTTTGACAAAGAGGAGTTCGGCAGGGTTTGTGACATTGACTCTGAAAATACCGACCTCATGAAGCTCTCTGAAATGGTCGACCTATATCCACCATACGAAGTGAACAACAAGCTTTCGCTTCTACTCAATTCCAACACAAAAGCAAAGGTCATTCCTTCCAATGAAGATGGAAAAGTGCTTGTGACTTTCTTGTACAAGTACAGTGGATGGGCATTCCTCGGTAGAGTTGTGCAAAACATTTCCAAGACATTTGACATTGCGGACAAGCAGAAGATGCTTGTGCTCAATGATATGCTTCATTTGCTCGTTCAGACTAGTTCTCAGGTCTCTCTAGAAGACTTGAAGGTGGCTCTTGATGCCATGTCCGCGTACACCGATGACTCTGACATTTTGGAAATCTTATTCCGTTTGCTCGAGCAAGGATTGCACAATCGTGATACGGAGATACTGACGAAGGTGGTCAAGCTTCTCACCAATCTTTTACCCTTGCATTCCAACAGAATCTGGCCCCACCTCTCTAAGTCATCCTTGCTACCAAACAGTGGAAAAGAGCCTTTTATGTCTATCATGTTTGGCTCCATTGAAATGGTGAAGGGAAGCTACGATTTTACCGTCGCATTGACCAAATTCATTGGCGCCTTAGCACACAATTGTCTCACAAACAAGCATGATTATGCTGATGTTCTCAAGGCAGAAGTTCTCGGGGTGATGGTCGAGCATGCCATTGTCGTTTTTGAAAGCTTCATCAATTGCAACTTCAATGATGGCTTGCAAAAGCTTGAATTGGGGATTTTGCTTCTTGAAGTGTTCCTCAAAATCATCACAACTGTGTTCGACACTAATTCGGGCAACTTCAAAGACAATGAACCTGCCAAAGAATTCGTCGGCTCTGCTCAGAAAATCCTTGATGCCTTTTTGGCACAGGAGGATGGCTCTGCTCGTGCTCCAATCCCAATTTACAAAATGGTGAGTTCTGTCGCCTCTTCCATGAACTACTACGACTTCAGAGATGTCACAGGCTTCTATTCCAAGCACTGGATCAATAGTGCCTTGTCATTTTCAAAAGAATTGATAAGATGCAGAAGTCTCATCACCAGCAAGCCATCTCATTTTGAGAAACAAATGTTCTCCCAACTTCAGAATTTGGTGAAGATCTACTCACGGGGCTCATTCAGAAGACCTGTTCTTGACTTGATCAGCACCTTGACAAGTGGAATTTGGGAAGGAGAGCAAATGCCATCCATGTTGTCCCACTTAGGGCGTGAACACTCTCGTATCTTCTTGCATTCTTTGGCATCTGACTTGAACAACTCCTTTGATGACTACGGTATCAGAATCTCTGTATATGACTTACTTTGCTCGATCTTGGAAGCTAGTCAAGAGGGTTTGTCTGTGTTGTTCATCAGTGGACGTGATGTTTTTGGTGGATCCAAGAGCGAAACTCCGCTTACAATCTCTCTTTTGGCTGTTTTGAAGAAGAACGTCAACGAGATCAAATACTACCCTCCTTCGGTCACTGCCCATCTTCTTGACGCAATCTCTTTGGCCTTCAACTCATGGACGATTGCAAATGAAGACAATAGCGATGAACACTTCGTTAAAGAGATGCTCAAGCTTCTAGATGATGATCTTGGTGACGGTCACTTCAAGAACCCACAAGATTATATCGCCGCTTGTTACAGGAACAAGGTTCTTGCGAAAAGTGCTGAAATCTTGTCACTCATTCTTTTCACGACCAAGAACGAAAAGACAAAGAACTTGATAATTAAAGTACTTTACAAGGACTCCTTCGTGGAGAAGTTGCCTCGTCTTTTGTGTCCCACATTGAGAAAGGGTCCAACACTTCAGTCAATCTCGGAAGAGTTTGAAGAGCACTTCTCCAAGTACAAATTGTCCCAGTTTGCAACATCTGTCAGAAAGAGAAACCGTTTCAGTGCCAATGAATTATACGAGATTGACATGATGAACACTCTTTTCCAGTCAACTCCTCAATGGGTAGGTATTAGGGATCGAATTGCGGATTGGAGTGCTCGTATTCAAAACTACTACTCCCAAGTTGCCATTGCCAAGTCCATCGGTGCACTTATCACTGCTTTGTGTCGCAGATCGCCTACAAAAGACCTTGCTCGATACTTGAAACTCACGCCTGAAATTCTCACCATCAATGTTGTTGAGGAACCCTACATTCTTGCGACAGCAACGCAGCTTCGTCTTGAAAGGGTTGAGCTTTCTTTCTTACTCTTCCAGACAAATGGTGGAGTTGAAAAGGCTGATAGAGATACCAAGGTTGCTCTCAAGGTGATTGAAAAGGCATCCACGATGCTCAACGCTGCTTCTGACTTGAACAACACCACTCCAGTCACCCAAAGAGCCTTGCTCAGGTTAGCTCATATTGCGCTTTCCATACTCGGAGAAGATCACGAGCTTATCATCGCTAAGTTCAGTGTGCTTCGAGACTTCTTCAATCGTGTGGTTTCTCAAGGATCGAGGCTCATCATTATTCAGCTTCAGAATGATGTGTATCTCTCAAGAGCAGACAAGAAACACAAGTCGCATGATTTAGGCGAGCTTCTCAATGACTTGCGCTTGGTGATCTCGATCTTCAAGTGCTACGTGATGTTCAACATCCCAGATTCGCTTCAAAGAGAGTTGGCGAACTCCTTAACAGACAACAAGACAGTGGACAATTTCCTTAGCCTTTACTCATTCTCGCACTTGATTGTGGTGAACGAGGAGCCTATCTTTTCTCATTTGACTCTCATGTTTGTCCAGCTCCTTCTTTCGGTGGATGTCTTTGCTGAAAAGTTCATCAACAGAAACATGTTCATGGTCATCAGAGAAAGTGTGATTTCTCAACCGCTTCGTGAAGGTGGTATTACAATTGAGAACTCACCTCAGCTCCACAGGAACTGGACGACCGGAATTCTCCCAATTATTTCGGCCACTTTGCTTGGACCTGGTAACAAGACGGAGGTCTTCAACACAATCAGATCATTTGGAAGACAGATTGCCTTCTGCATCGAGAGTTGGGCTAAAGACTCGCGGTCTCTCCATGTCTCATCGGCCGTTACTTGGGAAACCACCCAGATTTTGCACTTGTATCTGATTTTGAGTGAAATTGCAAAAGCTGAAAAAATCAGCAGTGACAATCCTACAAGCGTCGATATGGCCATTCTCCCAGGCCTTGAAACTCCACAAAAAAGAGAGGATTTGATGGACTACATCAGCAATTTGCTCAAGCACCCCAAGTTCCTTTCGTCTATCATCGTGCCCAGCACGCCAGAAGAAGCAAAGATTCTCAAGAGTCACGATAAAGTACATGAAGAATTTGTCAGAGGTGTGATTCTGGAGATTTCAGAACTCAAAGACTACCTCAGCTGAGGAGGTGCTGCACAGAATGTGGATGTTGATACAACGCGACGTTGGATTATTCAGTCGTACATCATCTCGCCTTGAACGATGAGCTCCCCGTTCTATGTTTCCGCCCCAGGAAAAGTCATTCTTTTTGGAGAGCACTCGACTGTTTACGGTAAGCCTGCCATAGCTGCCGCGCTCAGTCTCAGGGCCTACCTTCTTGTGAATCCAAGTGAGGATCCAGATGAAATTTGTCTTGAATTCCCAGACATTTCGCTCAAACACCTGTGGAAGAGACTGGACATACCTTGGGACGCTCTCGAGCCACTCATTCAAAAACATGAGGGCGTTCCTGTGGCTACTGACGAATTGGTGCCTGAGATCTTGGACCAATTGTCGGACTTGTTGGACATGGAGGACCAACGTACTTACATCACTTGCAGATGTTTCTTGTACCTATACACCAGCTTGTGTGGACGTGATACCCCAGGCTGTCATTTTGTCATCAGATCCACCTTGCCCATCGGTGCTGGCTTGGGTTCTTCCGCCTCGGTGTCTGTCTCCATTTCTACGGCACTTGCGATCTTGGGTAAGCATGTTGAGTACCCCACAATCGCTGCAAACAGCAGACAACACAGCAAGGCTTCTAAAGACACCAATTTCATTGACGCATGGTCGTTGATGGGTGAAAAGTGTTTCCACGGTAACCCTAGTGGAATCGACAATGCAGTTGCAACACATGGGGGAGCTGTTTTGTACCAGCGTTTCGGTGGACCTGGCAACGTGGCCGTGCGTACGAATTTGAGAAACTTCAGTGGTATCAACCTTTTGCTCACCAATACGAAAATTCCTAGAAGCACAGCTGACTTGGTCGGCGGTGTGGCCTCCTTGAGATCCAAGTATCCCAAGACTGCGGAACACTTGCTTCTGGCCATGGGCGAAGTAGCTCAGGAAGCTTTGGAGGAGATGCTCAAGCCAACGGCTGACCACAAGGTGTTGAGCGAGCTTTTCAACATCAACCACGGCTTGTTGGTGTCTCTCGGAGTGTCCCACCCTGCTCTTGAAACCATCAAGGCCATCGGAGACACAAACAAAATCGGTGCCACCAAACTCACAGGCGCTGGTGGCGGTGGATGTGCTATTACATTGCTTTCGCCTGAAGCTGACGAGGCTGCGTTGGCCAAGGTCAAGGAGGAGTTCCACGAAAAGAACTTTGAGGTGTTTGAAGCACAGTTGGGCGGAAAAGGTGTTGGTGTCTTGCAGCTCAAGGACAGCGATGCCACGGAGGTGTTTTCGTCGGAGAAATTCATGGAGCACGAATCGAGAGAACACATCGAGGAAGCCATTGGCGCCTCAAAACTCGCCGGCTGGCGTTTCTGGTGAGAGTTAATAGCAGCATGATAATAATGAAAGCATAGAATTAGTTTGGTCTAAGTCTGTATTAAGGCCGTGGCTGGCCAGTCAGGGCTTGGAGGCCCGACAATAAATATCTAAATACCTCTATTGAACTCGACCTGCTCGATCTTGTTGCCGTTCTTGTCCTTGAGGTCATGGAACTTGTCCTCCAACTTCTGTGGAGAGACAATCTCACGCTGTGGGAATACGGCAAGGGCTGGAGGTAAAGCAACAAGCGCTGTGACGAAGATAAGGCCGATGTTCACGGCGGTTTCGGTCAACTTGGACTTGCCCTTGAGGAATCTGCTCTTTTGGAGTCTCACCAAGATCAAAGGTGGAATGGCCATGACGGGGGTAGCGTTGATGACACGACTGGCGGCGGTTTCACCAACAGCGTAGAAAGCAGCCTTCTTAGACGAGCCCAAGTCGTTGCCGTCCTTGTCGTAGACAGAAATGCCCTTTTTCAACTCCTCGCTTCTCATCAAGAAGACGTTGGCAATACCGGCAGAAACCACAGCGGCAAAAGGCACCAAACGCCCCAAAACCATCTTGGTGTTGGGCTTCAAGCCCTTGAGCTTTGGCACAATGGCATTGAGGCCGAGAGCCACAGAACAGGACGCCGTAACGGCCATCGTATAGTTTGTAGCAATCTGCTTGGTGGTCAACGGGTGCAGCTTGTTGGCGTTGGAGATGTTGATGGCCACGTTCAACGACTGGTTCGCCACCTGCCAGAACACAGTGCCCATCGTGCCCAAGCCTGGCGTAAGCATACCAGCCGTCACCACCAAGTTGGAAAGCACACACGAACTCATCCGGAACGGCAAGAAAACGGTCTCGCCGGTGTCCGGGTGCAAGGCCGAGTCCAACACTTTCTTGGACCGCCAGAAGTCGGGCGTGAGCTTCCCTGTGACGCCGTTTCTATAGTCCCACACGGTCCTCTTGGCAGCTTCAATGTCTGAGGAGGTGTTGAGAAGCATTGTGGGGTCCAGGATTTCGGCACAGTGCTTGACACGGCCCCAGTATGTGGAGAGGTCGAAGCGAGAGTCTGGAAGCGGCACCGGGCCGGGGATCAGAGACGCCATAAGGAAGGTGTAGTTGGTGTTGATAATTGTGCGAAAGCGGGCCGGTGAAAAGTGGAGGGATGGAGGGAGGATGGTGTGGAGAATTGGGAGGTTTGGTAAATTTTTGAGTTTTGCTAGAATATAGAGAGTTTTTTCTGGATAGCTGGTTTTGGGTTTAGTGATGGCGGTTTAAGGTATAGGCTTGCTTGTGACACATCGTGGTACCCGCGTGGGCTGAGTGAGATGAGATGCCCGGTGGTTGGAGTGGCGTTTGATTTTGGGGATTTGCTTTGGATTCGATTTGATGAGGTTTTGTATTGGCAGAAATACGGTCGTTTTGGTGAGTTGGGGGTTTGAATTAGCGGGCCATGATTGGCTGGTTCGTATAGGTGTATGTACCATCACGGTGATAAGCCATGCAAGGTGTATTTCAAGGTGGGAGGAGTGGTCTATTAGTAGTAAAATTGGTCAATTTGGATATTAGTCTTGGGTGGCTTTCAGAAATTATTGATTTAGGGAAAGTACCGCTATTTCTAAGCGTTGGTGGAAATGGTTGCAAAATGTACCTAGTTGAGGCAGTGCAGTTAGTCATGGTCAAAGAACGAACAGCTGCGTTCGGCATATTCGTTGATGGACAGTAATAATAATTAGCTTCTTAAGAAATACGTAGCTTTAGAATATGTCCATCTTGATCTTTGAGAAATGGGAATATTTTGTGATTCCGACTTGACCAAATGCTCATGGCATGTATGACGCTATGGAAACACCACCCTACGGTCAAACCACCTTCCATCATCGACACCACAATAATTTTCATGACTTCCTCTTACAAAAACACAAATCTCTACAAATCCAACAACTCCCCAACCCTCTCCATTCGCTTCAATCTACATCCACCTGGGGTCCCCATCACCGTCCTGTTTACAGATGCGCAGGTACTACTCATGATCCTAGGACTCGGAGTGGACCTCGTCCATATCCTGCGGTTCTCCCGGCTCCTTTCCAAAGGAGAGCCATTCACGAAAAAGCTATATGAAAGAATACTCCATCCACGGGAACTCGCCCAATTGAGGCTTCTAGATGAGAAGTCCACCGCCCAGTTCATCGCAGGCAGCTGGGCTGCCAAAGAAGCGGTATTCAAGACATTGGAGGAAAAGGAGCAGGCGACTTTTCAGTTCAAGCAGTGGTACCGCTATAAAGAGGGGAAACGCCCTGCCATTGGCTCAGAAACAAGCAATGACTCTTTCTTGTTGAGTATATCTCACGATAACGACATGCTCATAGCCACCGTGCTACGGCAGGCAAAGCAGCTGAAGAGATGACTTTTAAAGCTGTAAGTTTCCGGTTTGGCCTACACCCCACTCGCTCTAGTTAACAATTACTAATACACATTTCACCCTCTATTCCCACTCAACGGTGGCTGGAGGCTTGGAGGTGATGTCGTAGGTGACACGAGCAACACCGTCAACCTCGTTGACAATTCTGGAGGCAACTCTCTTGAGGAAAGAGGCCTCGAACACGAACCAGTCGGCAGTCATGAAGTCCACCGTCTCAATGGCTCTCAAAGCAATCACCTGCTCGTAGGTTCTCTGGTCACCCATGACACCGACAGACTTGATAGGCAAAAGAGCAGCAAAAGCCTGCGAGATCTGCTTGTACAAACCGGCCTTCTTGATCTCCTCAATGAAGATGGCATCGGCCTCTCTAGCAATGGTAACCTGCTCCTTGGTCACCTCACCCAACACTCTGATAGCAAGACCTGGACCAGGGAAAGGGTGTCTCCAGACAAGGTCGTGGGGAACACCCAAGAGCTCACCCAAGTGACGGACCTCGTCCTTGAACAACTCTCTCAATGGCTCGATCAACTTGAGCTTCATGTCCTCCAACAAACCACCGACGTTGTGGTGGGTCTTGATGGTCTGCGATGGGCCCTTGAAAGAGATGGACTCAATGACATCAGGGTACAAGGTACCTTGCAACAAGAACTCGATCTCCTGGCCGGAAGCAGGCTTGATCTTGGCAGCCTCGTCCTCGAAAACGTGGATGAAGGTGTTACCGATGATCTTTCTCTTTTTCTCAGGGTCAGTGACGCCCTTCAAGCGGCCCAAGAACAAGTCCAGGGCGTCCACCACAGTCAAGTTGATGCCGAGACCCTCGGTCAAGGTCTTGTAGACGTTCTCGGTCTCGTTCTTTCTCATGACACCGTTGTCGACGTAGATGGCGTGGAAACGGTCGCCAATGGCCTCCTTCATGATCTTGGCACCCACGGTGGAGTCGACACCACCGGAAACGGCACCAATGACCTCGGCAGTAGGACCCACCAACTTCTGGATTCTGGCGATCTCAGTGTCCACAAAGTTCTCCATGGACCAGTTGGCGTTGGCCTTACAGATCTCCAAGGCAAAGTTCTTCAACAAGATCTTACCGTTGACGGAGTGGGTCACCTCGGGGTGGAACTGGATACCGAAAATGGGGTCCTTCTCGTGGGCAATAGCACAGAAGGGAGAGTTGTCAGAGGTAGCCACGGTCTTGAAACCAGTAGGCAAAGCGTGCAACTTGTCACCGTGGGACATCCACACCTGGGAGTGGTCCACGCCGTCGAAAAGGGGGCACAGCTTGTCCTCCACGTTCAAAGTAGCAGGACCGTACTCTCTCTTGTCGCCTCTACCAACACCTTTACCGTTGATCCAGGCCAACTCTTGCATACCGTAACAGATACCCAAGATAGGCACGTCGAGCTTGAACACGTCGTGGTCAACGTGAGGAGCGTCGTCAGCGTAGACGGAGTATGGACCACCAGACAAGATCACACCCTTGGGCTTCCAAGAGAGCTCAGCGATCTTCTGAGTACAAGGCAACATCTCAGCGTAAACGTTGAACTCACGCAACCTTCTGGTGATGAGGTGGGAGTACTGCGAGCCAAAGTCGAGAACAAGGATGGTGTCGAACACCTTGGACACTTCCACGGGCACGTCGGGCACAGACATGGTGAAGGGGTAGTTGAAGAAGATGGGGTCTAAAATTTGTGCGATGTGCGAAGTACGTAGGATGCGATGAGCAGTCAGGTGGACCCAAATTGGAGAAGTGGGGAACGGGGATGATTTTTGAAAAATCGGTGGTTTTCGGGTTTAGTGGGTGTGGATTGGGTGTTGGTGGAATTTGGGCCTGTGGATCCGCCGGGTTCCGTTTCTGTCGTGGCGGCTAAGTTGTGATAACGGTCCGCGGGCCGAGGGACGGTGAAAAGTGGGACTTTTCGGGGAGCTTTTTTCAATTGAGGGGGGTTTTTGGGGTTTTCAGGTTGGAGATTTTTGGTTGGATGAGTTTTGGTTTTGTAGGTTGGGTGGTGTTGGATATGGCGTGGCGGCTGACTCCTCCAGGCTAATAATTAGCGTTAATGAGGCACCGGTAAGGCGTGGTGGGGGACAAAGGTGGGGGAGGGAATGTGTTTTCATTGTGTTTTGGGTAAATTGGAGGGATCTAGCTAATTTGTAAAGAAGATGTGGTTTTCTTTGGCCAGAATGTGGGTTTGGTTGTACGGCTGATATAGGTGGTTTCGCAGCCATTCGATGCCCACCACGTTTCTGGTAGCAGGGTGAGAATGGCCATATGGCGGGGCCATAGCCGGTTGAAGAATTTCATAGTGTGCTTTTTGGCTATAAATCCCTTCCGTGATGTAAGTTTTGAAGTTTCACTATGTGGAGTGGATGTGTCTCACTGGGTCTCTCGCTTTTGCACCCACATTACAAAGACACCCCAAGGCAATTGACTACGTTAGAGCTAGCCTCAATTGTTACCTTTGTCTTGAATAATTGCCGGTTAAACTCGTTTTCTGACCAATCGACTCCTCCCTTTCTCCAATCAATCAATCTCCACAAATGAGATCACTTCCTCCGCCTCGAGTCACACGAAAACGGCGCTGGAGACGGT